GGATGGGATGGGGTGGGAGGGGGTGGGATGGGAGGGGGTGGGATGGGGTGGGATGGGATGGGATGGGGTGGGATGGGATGGGATGGGATGGGATGGGATGGGATGGGATGGGATGGGATGGGGTGGGATGGGATGGGGATGGGGTGGGATGGGATGGGATGGGGTAGGGTGGGGTGGGGTGGGGTGGGATGGGATGGGATGGGATGGGATGGGATGGGATGGGATGGGATGGGATGGGATGGGGTGGGAGGGGGTGGGATGGGATGGGATGGGGTGGGATGGGGTGGGATGGGGTGGGATGGGGTGGGGATGGGGATGGGGATGGAAATGGGGTGGGATGGGTTTGGCTGTGAGCCCTGGGGCTGCCGCCAGCCCCCCCCAAGCTGCTCAGTGAGGGCTGCAGCCGCTCCCCGCAGGCAGCAGGCGCTGGAGCAGAACCTGCTGTTCTCGGGGCGGCTGTCGGACGCGCTGCAGGCGCTGCTGGACTGGCTGTACCGCATGGAGCCGCAGCTCTGCGACGAGGCGCCCGTGGGGGGGGACAGGGAGCTGGTCAGCAACCTGATGGACAAACACAAGGTGGGGGGGGGTCAGGGGGGGGATTCTGTGGGGCTGGGTGTCATGGAGGTGGGTCGCCGTGGGGCTGGGCGTCCGATGGGGGGAGGCGTGTGGGGGGGGCAGCATTGAGGGGAGGTGGGATTCCGTGGGGTGCGGACATGGGGGGGGAATTGGGGTCTGGGGGGGGGGGTTCTGTGCCCATAGTGGGGGCGCAGCGGCTGGGTGTTCCTGCACAACCACTGCAGGCTGCCCTGAGTGCCAGCGCCTCCTCATTGGGGCATGGCACCCAAAGGGCGCCTGTGGGGCACCCTGACCCCCAGCACCCATAGATCACCCTGCCCCCCAGCACCCATAGGGCACCCTGACCCCCAGCACCCATAGATCACCCTGACCCCAGCACCCACAAAGCACCCTGCCCCCCAACATCCCCAGCACCCAGAACCCCAGCACCCATAGGGCACCCTGACCCCCAGCACCCATAGATCACACTGCCCCCCAGCACCCATAGAGCACCCTGACCCCCAGCACCCATAGATCACCCTGACCCCCAGCACCCATAGGGCACCCTGACCCTTAGCACCCATAGATCACCCTGCCCCCCAGCACCCATAGGTCACCCTGACCCCCAGCACCCATAGATCACCCTGACCCCAGCACCCACAAAGCACCCTGCCCCCCAACATCCCCAGCACCCAGAACCCCAGCACCCATAGGGCACCCTGACCCCCAGCACCCATAGATCACACTGCCCCCCAGCACCCATAGAGCACCCTGACCCCCAGCACCCATAGATCACCCTGACCCCCAGCACCCAAAGGGCACCCTGACCCCCGCACCCATAGATCACCCTGACCCCCAGCACCCAAAGGGCACCCTGACCCCCAGCACCCATAGATCACCCTGACCCCCAGCACCCATAGGGCACCCTGACCCCCGCACCCATAGATCACCCTGACCCCGTCACCCAGAGCATCCTGACCCCAGCACCCACAAAGCACCCTGACCCCAGCACCTATAGGTCACCCTGCCCCCCAGCACCCATAGAGCACCCTGACCCCAGCACGCATAGATCACCCTGCCCCCCAGCACCCACAGATCACCCTGCCCCCCAGCACCTATAGGGCACCCTGACCCCCAGCACCTATAGGTCACCCTGACCCCAGCACCCACAGCACCCTGACCCCAGCACCCATAGATCACCCTGACCCCCAGCACCCATAGAGCACCCTGACCCCAGCACCCACAGCATCCTGACCCCAGCACCCATAGGGCACCCTGACCCCAGCACCCACAGCACCCTGACCCCAGCACCCATAGATCACCCTGACCCCAGCACCCACAGCATCCTGACCCCAGCACCCATAGGGCACCCTGACCCCAGCACCCATAGATCACCCTGACCCCAGCACCCATAGAGCACCCTGATCCCAGCACCCATAGATCACCCTGACCCCGTCACCCACAGCACCCTGCCCCCCAGCTCCCACAGGTCACCCTGACCCCAGCACCCATAGATCACCCTGACCCTGTCACCCCAGCACCCTGACCCTCAGCACGCACAGGTCACCCAGACCCCCAGCACACACAGCATCCTGACCCCAGCACCCATAGGGCACCCTGCCCCCCAGCACTCATAGGGCACCCTGCCCCCCAGCACTCATAGGGCACCCTGACCCCAGCACCCATAGATCACCCTGCTCCCCAGCACCCCCAGCACCCTGACCCCCAGCACCCATAGGGCACCCTGACCCCCAGCACCCATAGATCACCCTGACCCCAGCACCCACAAAGCACCCTGCCCCCCAACATCCCCAGCACCCTGACCCCAGCACCCATAGGGCACCCTGACACCCAGCACTCAAAGGGCACCCTGACCCCAGCACCCACAAAGCACCCTGCCCCCCAGCATCCCCTGCACCCTGCTCCCCAGCACCCATAGGGCACCCTGACCCCCAGCACCCACAGGTCACCCTGACCCCCAGCACCCCCAGCACTCTGACCCCAGCACCCATAGATCACCCTGACCCCCAGCACCCCCAGCACCCTGACCCCCAGCACCCATAGATCACCCTGACCCTGTCACCCACAGCATCCTGACCCCAGCACCCACAGGTCACCCTGACCCCCAGCACCCAAAGGGCACCCTGACCCCAGCACCCACAAAGCACCCTGACCCCAGCACCTATAGGTCACCCTGCCCCCCAGCATCCATAGAGCACCCTGACCCCAGCACCCACAGATCACCCTGCCCCCCAGCACCCCCAGCACCCTGACCCCCAGCACCTATAGGGCACCCTGACCCCAGCACCCACAGCATCCTGACCCCAGCACCCATAGGGCACCGTGACCCCAGCACCCATAGATCACCCTGACCCCCAGCACCCACAGCATCCTGACCCCAGCACCCATAGATCACCCTGACCCCAGCACCCATAGAGCACCCTGATCCCAGCACCCATAGATCACCCTGACCCCGTCACCCACAGCACCCTGCCCCCCAGCACCCACAGGTCACCCTGACCCCAGCACCCATAGATCACCCTGACCCCCAGCACCCATAGGGCACCCTGACCCCAGCACCCATAGATCACCCTGACCCCCAGCACCCACAGCACCCTGACCCCAGCACCCATAGATCACCCTGACCCCCAGCACCCATAGGGCACCCTGACCCCAGCACCCATAGATCACCCTGACCCCCAGCACCCACAGCACCCTGACCCCAGCACCCATAGATCACCCTGATCCCCAGCACCCATAGATCACCCTGACCCCCAGCACCCACAGCACCCTGACCCCAGCACCCATAGATCACCCTGATCCCCAGCACCCATAGATCACCCCGACCCCCAGCACCCACAGCACCCTGACCCCCAGCACCCACAGGTCACCCTGCCCCCCAGCACCCATAGGGCACTCTGACCCCCAGCACCCATAGATCACCCTGACTCCGTCACCCATAGCACCCTGACCCCCAGCACCCACAGGTCACCCTGCCCCCCAGCACCCATAGGGCACCCTGACCCTCAGCACCCATAGATCACCCTGACCCCGTCACCCATAGCACCCTGACCCCCAGCACCCACAGGTCACCCAGACCCCCAGCACCCACAGCATCCTGACCCCAGCACCCACAGGGCACCCTGACCCCCAGCACCTATAGGGCACCCTGACCCCAGCACCCACAACACCCTGACCCCCAGCACCCATAGGGCACTCTGACCCCAGCATCCATAGATCACCCTGACCCCCAGCACCCACAGAGCACCCTGACCCCCAGCACCCATAGGGCACTCTGACCCCAGCACCCATAGATCACCCTGCCCCCCAGCACCCACAGCATCCTGACCCCAGCACCCATAGATCACCCTGCCCCCCAGCACCCATAGATCACCCTGACCCCCAGCACCCATAGATCACCCTGACCGCAGCACCCACAAAGCACCCTGCCCCCCAACATCCCCAGCACCCTGACCCCAGCACCCATAGGGCACCCTGACCCCCAGCACCCATAGGGCACCCTGACCCCCAGCACCCATAGGGCACCCTGACCCCCCCCCCCCCCTCCTTCAGGTGTTCCAGAAGGAGCTGGGGAAGCGCGCCAGCTGCATGAAGATGCTGAAGCGCTCCGTGCGCGAGCTGACGCGCAGCTGCAGCGGTGTGGATGCGCAGTGGCTGCAGCAGCAGATGGAGGAGCTGAGCGCGCGCTGGGATGCGGTGTGCAGGATGTCGGTGTGCAAGCAGGGCAGGCTGGAGGCGGCGCTGCGGCAGGTGGCCAAGGAAATGGGGCTGCGGGGATGGGGGATGCAGGAGCGGGGGATGCAGGAATGGGAGATGGAGTGGGGGGCTGCAGGGATGGGGCTGCAGGAGTGGGGGATGCAGGAACAGAGCTGCAGGAATGGGGGCTGCAGGGTTGGAGCTGCAGGGATGGGGGCTGCAGGAGTGGGGGATGCAGGGATGGGGGCTGCAGGGATGGGGGCTGCAGGAATGGGGCTGCAGGGATGGGGCTGCAGGGATGGGGGATGCAGGGATGGGGATGCAGGGATGGGGGATGCAGGGATGGGGATGCAGGAGCGGGGGATGCAGGAGTGGGGGATGCAGGAACACAGCTGCAGGAATGGGAGCTGCAGGGTTGGAGCTGCAGGAATGGGAGCTGCAGGAGTGGGTCTGCAGGAAGGGGGCTGCAGGAATGGGGATGCAGGGATGGGGTTGCAGGAGTGGGGGATGCAGGAATGGGGCTGCAGGAATGGGGATGCAGGGATGGGGCTGCAGGAATGGGGCTGCAGGGATGGGGGCTGCAGGAGTGGGGGATGCAGGGATGGGGCTGCAGGAATGGGGGATGCAGGGATGGGGATGCAGGGATGGGGGCTGTGGGGTTGGAGCTGCAGGGATGGGGATGCAGGGATGGGGGATGCAGGGATGGGGCTGCAGGGATGGGGGCTGCAGGGATGGGGCTGCAGGGATGGGGGCTGCAGGGATGGGGATGTAGGGATGGGGGACTGCAGGAGCCCATGGGAGCAGTGCACACATTTGTGCATGGGGCTGCATGGGGGGCTGGGCTATGAGTGGCTTTATTGCATGGTGCTGTGTGGTGCTGCATTGCGCGGTGCTGCATTGCGCGGTGCTGCATTGCGCGGTGCTGCAATGCATGGTGCTGCATTGCGTGGTGCTGCATTGCGTGGTGCTGCATTGTGCGGTGCTGCAATGCATGGTGCTGCATTGCGTGGTGCTGCATTGCATGGTGCTGCATTGCGCGGTGCTGCATTGCGTGGTGCTGCATTGCGTGGTGCTGCATTGCGTGGTGCTGCATTGCATGGTGCTGCATTGCGCGGTGCTGCATTGCGTGGTGCTGCATTGCGCGGTGCTGCATTGTGTGGTGCTGCATTGCATGGTGCCATGCAGCTCTCTGCGTGGCCGTGTTGCAATGGAGCCATGCTGGGAGCTGCATGCTGTGCTGCACAGAGCTGCATGGGTGCCCTCCCTGATGGGGTTGCACAGACGGGGTCTTGAAATGGAACAGGGCTGGGGCTGTGGGGTTATGGGGCTGTGGGTTATGGGGTGTGGGTTTAGGGGGCTATGGGGTGTTGGGCTGTGGAGTTATGGGGTACGGGGCTGTGGGGCTGTGGGTTATGGGGCTGTGGGTTATGGGGCTGTGGGTTATGGGGCTGTAGGGCGATGGGTTATGGGGTTATGGAGCTGTGGCTTATGGGGCTGTGAGCCTATGGGGCTGTGGGTTATGGGGCTGTGGGCCTATAGGGCTGTGGGTGATGGGGCCATAGTGCGGTGGGGTATGGGGTTATGGGGCTGTGAGGCTATGGGGCTGTGGGTTATGGGGCTGTGGGCCTATAGGGCTGTGGGTTATGGGGTTGTAGGGCTATGGGTTATGGGGTTATGGAGCTGTGGGTTGTGGGGCTGTGAGCCTATGGGGCTGTGGCTTATGGGGCTGAGGGCCTCTAGAGCTGTGGGTGATGGGGCCATAGGGCTATGGGGTATGGGGTTATGGGGCTGTGAGGCTATGGGGCTGTAGGGTTATGGGGCTGTGGGCCTATAGGGCTGTGGGTTATGGGGCAATAGGGCTATGGGTTATGGGGTTATGGCGCTGCGGCTTACGGGGCTGTGGGTTATGGGGCTGTGGGTTATGGGGCTGTGGGTCTATAGGGCTGTAAGTTATGGAGCTGTGGGTTACGGGGCTGTGGGTTATGGGGCCATAGGGCTATGGGTTATGGGGTTATGGAGCTGTGGCTTATGGGGCTGTGAGCCTATGGGGCTGTGGGTTATGGGGCTGTGGGCCTATAGGGCTGTGGGTGATGGGGCCATAGTGCTATGGGGTATGGGGTTATGGGGCTGTGAGCCTATGGGGCTGTGGGTTATGGGGCTGTGGGCCTATAGGGCTGTGGGTGATGGGGTTGTAGGGCTATGGGTTATGGGGTTATGGCGCTGTGGGTTGTGGGGCTGTGAGCCTATGGGGCTGTGGCTTATGGGGCTGAGGGGCTCTAGAGCTGTGGGTGATGGGGCCATAGGGCTATGGGGTATGGGGTTATGGGGCTGTGAGGCTATGGGGCTGTAGGGTTATGGGGCTGTGGGCCTATAGGGCTGTGGGTTATGGGGCAATAGGGCTATGGGTTATGGGGTTATGGCGCTGCGGCTTACGGGGCTGTGAGGCTATGGGGCTGTGGGTTATGGGGCTGTGGGTCTATAGGGCTCTAAGTTATGGAGCTGTGGGTTATAGGGCTGTGGGTGATGGGGTTGTAGGGCTATGGGTTATGGGGTTATGGAGCTGTGGCATATGGGGCTGTGAGCCTATGGGGCTGTGGGTTATGGGGCTGTGGGCCTCTAGAGCTGTGGGTGATGGGGCCATAGGGCTATGGGGTATGGGGTTATGGGGCTGTGAGGCTATGGGGCTGTAGGGTTATGGGGCTGTGGGCCTATAGGGCTGTGGGTTATGGGGCAATAGGGCTATGGGTTATGGGGTTATGGCGCTGCGGCTTACGGGGCTGTGAGGCTATGGGGCTGTGGGCCTATAGGGCTGTGGGTGATGGGGTTGTAGGGCTATGGGTTATGGGGTTATGGCGCTGTGGCTTACGGGGCTGTGAGCCTATGGGGCTGTGGGTTATGGGGCTGTGGGCCTATAGGGCTGTGGGTGATGGGGCCATAGGGCTATGGGGTATGGGGTTATGGGGCTGTGAGGCTATGGGGCTGTGGGTTATGGGGCTGTGGGCCTATAGGGCTGTGGGTTATGGGGTTGTAGGGCTATGGGTTATGGGGTTATGGAGCTGTGGGTTGTGGGGCTGTGAGCCTATGGGGCTGTGGGTTATGGGGCTGAGGGCCTCTAGAGCTGTGGGTGATGGGGCCATAGGGCTATGGGGTATGGGGTTATGGGGCTGTGAGGCTATGGGGCTGTGGGTTATGGGGCTGTGAGCCTATGGGGCTGTGGGTTATGGGGCTGTGGGCCTATAGGGCTGTGGGTGATGGGGCCATAGTGCGGTGGGGTATGGGGTTATGGGGCTGTGAGGCTATGGGGCTGTAGGTTATGGGGTTGTAGGGCTATGGGTTATGGGGTTATGGTGCTGCGGCTTATGGGGCTGTGAGCCTATGGGGCTGTGGGTTATGGGGCTGTGGGTTATAGGGCTGTAAGTTATGGGGCTGTGGGCCTATAGGGTTATGGGGCCATAGGGCCATGGGTTATGGGGTTATGGGTTATGAGGTTATGGCGATGCAGCTTATGGGGCTGTGGGTTATGGGGCAGTGGGGCTGTAGGGCTGTAAGTTATGGGTAAGTGGCCCTATAGGGTTATGGGGCTGTAGGGCTATGGGTTATGGGGTTATGGCGCTGTGGCTTACGGGTCTGTGAGGCTATGGGGCTGTGGGTTATGGGGCTGTGGGTCTATAGGGCTGTAAGTTATGGGGCTGTGGGTTATGGGGCTGTGGGTGATGGGGTTGTAGGGCTATGGGTTATGGGGTTATGGAGCTGTGGCTTATGGGGCTGTGAGCCTATGGGGCTGTGGGTTATGGGGCTGTGGGCCTATAGGGCTGTGGGTGATGGGGCCATAGTGCGGTGGGGTATGGGGTTATGGGGCTGTGAGGCTATGGGGCTGTGGGTTATGGGGCTGTGGGCCTATAGGGCTGTGGGTTATGGGGTTGTAGGGCTATGGGTTATGGGGTTATGGAGCTGTGGGTTGTGGGGCTGTGAGCCTATGGGGCTGTGGCTTATGGGGCTGAGGGCCTCTAGAGCTGTGGGTGATGGGGCCATAGGGCTATGGGGTATGGGGTTATGGGGCTGTGAGGCTATGGGGCTGTAGGGTTATGGGGCTGTGGGCCTATAAGGCTGTGGGTTATGGGGCAATAGGGCTATGGGTTATGGGGTTATGGCGCTGCGGCTTACGGGGCTGTGGGTTATGGGGCTGTGGGTTATGGGGCTGTGGGTCTATAGGGCTGTAAGTTATGGGGCTGTGGGTTATAGGGCTGTGGGTGATGGGGTTGTAGGGCTATGGGTTATGGGGTTATGGAGCTGTGGCTTATGGGGCTGTGAGCCTATGGGGCTGTGGGTTATGGGGCTGTGGGTCTATAGGGCTGTAAGTTATGGGGCTGTGGGTTATGGGGCTGTGGGTGATGGGGTTGTAGGGCTATGAGTTATGGGGTTATGGCGCTGTGGCTTACGGGGCTGTGAGCCTATGGGGCTGTGGGTTATGGGGCTGAGGGCCTCTAGAGCTGTGGGTGATGGGGCCATAGGGCTATGGGGTATGGGGTTATGGGGCTGTGAGTCAATGGGGCTGTGGGTTATGGGGCTGAGGGCCTATAGGGCTGTGGGTTATGGGGTTGTAGGGCTATGGGTTATGGGGTTATGGCGCTGTGGCTTATGGGGCTGTGGGTTATGGGGCTGTGGGGCTGTAGGGCTGTAAGTTATGGGGCTGTGGGCCTATAGGGTTATGGGGCCATAGGGCCATGGGTTATGGGGTTATGGGTTATGAGGTTATGGCGATGCAGCTTATGGGGCTGTGGGTTATGGGGCAGTGGGGCTGTAGGGCTGTAAGTTATGGGTAAGTGGCCCTATAGGGTTATGGGGCCGTAGGGCTATGGGTTATGGGGTTATGGCGCTGTGGCTTACGGGGCTGTGAGGCTATGGGGCTGTGGGTTATGGGGCTGTGGGTCTATAGGGCTGTAAGTTATGGGGCTGTGGGTTATGGGGCTGTGGGTGATGGGGTTGTAGGGCTATGGGTTATGGGGTTATGGAGCTGTGGCTTATGGGGCTGTGAGCCTATGGGGCTGTGGGTTATGGGGCTGTGGGCCTATAGGGCTGTGGGTGATGGGGCCATAGTGCGGTGGGGTATGGGGTTATGGGGCTGTGAGGCTATGGGGCTGTGGGTTATGGGGTTGTAGGGCTATGGGTTATGGGGTTATGGAGCTGTGGGTTGTGGGGCTGTGAGCCTATGGGGCTGTGGCTTATGGGGCTGAGGGCCTCTAGAGCTGTGGGTGATGGGGCCATAGGGCTATGGGGTATGGGGTTATGGGGCTGTGAGGCTATGGGGCTGTGGGTTATGGGGTTGTAGGGCTATGGGTTATGGGGTTATGGTGCTGCGGCTTATGGGGCTGTGAGGCTATGGGGCTGTGGGTTATGGGGCTGTGGGGCTGTAGGGCTGTAAGTTATGGGGCTGTGGGCCTATAGGGTTATGGGGCCATAGGGCTATGGGTATTGGGGTTATGGGTTATAGGGTTATGGCGCTGCAGCTTATGGGGCTGTGGGTTATGGGGCAGTGGGGCTGTAGGGCTGTAAGTTATGGGTAAGTGGCCCTATAGGGTTATGGGGCCGTAGGGCTATGGGTTATGGGGTTATGGCGCTGCGGCTTATGGGGCTGTGGGTTATGGGGCTGTGGGTTATGGGGCTGTGGGTCTATAGGGCTGTAAGTTATGGGGCTGTGGGTTATGGGGCTGTGGGTGATGGGGTTGTAGGGCTATGGGTTATGGGGTTATGGAGCTGTGGCTTATGGGGCTGTGAGCCTATGGGGCTGTGGGTTATGGGGCTGTGGGCCTATAGGGCTGTGGGTGATGGGGCCATAGTGCGGTGGGGTATGGGGTTATGGGGCTGTGAGGCTATGGGGCTGTGGGTTATGGGGCTGTGGGCCTATAGGGCTGTGGGTTATGGGGTTGTAGGGCTATGGGTTATGGGGTTATGGAGCTGTGGGTTGTGGGGCTGTGAGTCAATGGGGCTGTGGGTTATGGGGCTGAGGGTCTCTAGAGCTGTGGGTGATGGGGCCATAGGGCTATGGGGTATGGGGTTATGGGGCTGTGAGGCTATGGGGCTGTGGGTTACGGGGCTGTGGGCCTATAGGGCTGTGGGTTATGGGGTTGTAGGGCTATGGGTTATGGGGTTATGGCGATGCAGCTTATGGGGCTGTGAGGCTATGGGGCTGTGGGTTATGGGGCTGTGGGTTATGGGGCTATGGGTTATGGGGCTGTGGGTGGTGGGGTGGGTTGTGAGCGCTCGCTGCTCCGTGGCAGGCGGAGGAGTTCCACACTTTGGTGCATTCCTTCCTGGGGCGCCTCTCAGAGTCGGAGAAAAGCCTCAAATACGGCGTCTGCCCCGAGGAGGAGCGCGATGTGCAGGAGGGCCAGCAGCAGCTGCAGGTGAGCAGCAATGCAGAGACAGCATGAGCTGCAGGGCAGAGACAGCATGAGCTGCAATGCAGAGACAGCATGAGCTGCAATGCAGAGACAGCATGAGCTGCAATGCAGAGACAGCATGAGCTGCAAGGCAGAGACAGCATGAGCTGCAAGGCAGAGACAGCATGAGCTGCAAGGCAGAGACAGCATGAGCTGCAGGGCAGAGACAGCATGAGCTGCAAGGCAGAGACAGCATGAGCTGCAGGGCAGAGACAGCATGAGCTGCAATGCAGAGACAGCATGAGCTGCAATGCAGAGACAGCATGAGCTGCAAGGCAGAGACAGCATGAGCTGCAATGCAGAGACAGCATGAGCTGCAAGGCAGAGACAGCATGAGCTGCAGGGCAGAGACAGCATGAGCTGCAATGCAGAGACAGCATGAGCTGCAGGGCAGAGACAGCATGAGCTGCAAGGCAGAGACAGCATGAGCTGCAAGGCAGAGACAGCATGAGCTGCAATGCAGAGACAGCATGAGCTGCAAGGCAGAGACAGCATGAGCTGCAAGGCAGAGACAGCATGAGCTGCAATGCAGAGACAGCATGAGCTGCAAGGCAGAGACAGCATGAGCTGCAAGGCAGAGACAGCATGAGCTGCAGGGCAGAGACAGCATGAGCTGCAAGGCAGAGACAGCATGAGCTGCAATGCAGAGACAGCATGAGCTGCAGGGCAGAGACAGCATGAGCTGCAATGCAGAGACAGCATGAGCTGCAAGGCAGAGACAGCATGAGCTGCAATGCAGAGACAGCATGAGCTGCAAGGCAGAGACAGCATGAGCTGCAATGCAGAGACAGCATGAGCTGCAAGGCAGAGACAGCATGAGCTGCAAGGCAGAGACAGCATGAGCTGCAATGCAGAGACAGCATGAGCTGCAGGGCAGAGACAGCATGAGCTGCAAGGCAGAGACAGCATGAGCTGCAAGGCAGAGACAGCATGAGCTGCAAGGCAGAGACAGCATGAGCTGCAATGCAGAGACAGCATGAGCTGCAGGGCAGAGACAGCATGAGCTGCAAGGCAGAGACAGCATGAGCTGCAGGGCAGAGACAGCATGAGCTGCAATGCAGAGACAGCATGAGCTGCAAGGCAGAGACAGCATGAGCTGCAATGCAGAGACAGCATGAGCTGCAAGGCAGAGACAGCATGAGCTGCAGGGCAGAGACAGCATGAGCTGCAATGCAGAGACAGCATGAGCTGCAATGCAGAGACAGCATGAGCTGCAATGCAGAGACAGCATGAGCTGCAGGGCAGAGACAGCATGAGCTGCAGGGCAGAGACAGCATGAGCTGCAAGGCAGAGACAGCATGAGCTGCAATGCAGAGACAGCATGAGCTGCAATGCAGAGACAGCATGAGCTGCAGGGCAGTGACAGCATGAGCTGCAATGCAGAGACAGCATGAGCTGCAGGGCAGAGACAGCATGAGCTGCAATGCAGAGACAGCATGAGCTGCAATGCAGAGACAGCATGAGCTGCAGGGCAGTGACAGCATGAGCTGCAATGCAGAGACAGCATGAGCTGCAATGCAGAGACAGCATGAGCTGCAGGGCAGAGACAGCATGAGCTGCAAGGCAGAGACAGCATGAGCTGCAGGGCAGTGACAGCATGAGCTGCAGGGCAGAGACAGCATGAGCTGCAGGGCAGAGACAGCATGAGCTGCAGGGCAGAGACAGCATGAGCTGCAATGCAGAGACAGCATGAGCTGCAGGGCAGAGACAGCATGAGCTGCAATGCAGAGACAGCATGAGCTGCAATGCAGAGACAGCATGAGCTGCAAGGCAGAGACAGCATGAGCTGCAATGCAGAGACAGCATGAGCTGCAATGCAGAGACAGCATGAGCTGCAATGCAGAGACAGCATGAGCTGCAGGGCAGAGACAGCATGAGCTGCAATGCAGAGACAGCATGAGCTGCAATGCAGAGACAGCATGAGCTGCAGGGCAGAGACAGCATGAGCTGCAATGCAGAGACAGCACGAGCTGCAGGGCAGAGACAGCATGAGCTGCAATGCAGAGACAGCATGAGCTGCAGGGCAGAGACAGCATGAGCTGCAATGCAGAGACAGCATGAGCTGCAGGGCAGAGACAGCATGAGCTGCAGGGCAGAGACAGCATGAGCTGCAGGGCAGAGACAGCATGAGCTGCAGGGCAGTGACAGCATGCGCTGCAGGGCAGTGCCAACTGCAGGACAGCACCAATGCTAGCTGCAGGGCAGTGCCAGCACCAACTGCATCTTAATGCCAACTGCAGCATCATTGCAGAGCCAGCTGCAGCTCGGTTTCAGCTGCAGGGTGCCAACTGCAGGTCCGTGGCAGCTGCAGCTCAGTGCCAGCAGCAGCACCAGCCCCATGCCAGCTGCAGCTGCACGTCGCTGCCTCCCACCTCCAGTGCATCCCCTTGTGGCCGTGGGGCTGCACGCTGCATGGGACGCCCCACTGCCCATCCCACTGCCAGCCCTATAGGCAGCGCGTGGGGCTGCGTCGCTCCCCTGCTGGGGGTCCCACCAAAGCCAGGCGTGCGCCTCGAAGCTGCGGGGCTGCAGGGATCTCTATGGGGTCCTCTATGGGGTCTCCTATGGGGCCACCCCCCCTTCTCCCCCCAACCCCTCCGCGCTCTCCCGCAGGAGCTGCTGCAGTTGCTGCAGTGCCAGCAGTTGGAGCTGGAATGCATCACCTCTCTGGGGGAGGAGATCCTGACCGCGTGCCACCCCGACTCCGTCATCACCATCAAATCCTGGCTCACCGTGGCCAAAAGCCGCTTCCAGGAGGTGGGTGCCCATCTCACAGCCCCCCACGACCCCCCCTTCTCCCCTGCTCCCACCGTGGCGCATGCGGCACCCAACCCCCCTCCGGACCCCATAAGGAAGGAGAAGCATTCGGGCCCCGTCCCGGAGCGGCCCTGGACTGGTGCTGCTCACAACCCCCCCATCTCTGGAAGCTCACAGCCCCCATATGGGTCGGTTCTGCCCAGCCCTGAGCTGTGTGATGCCAGCAGGGAGCAGAGATCGGGGGCTGCAGCCCCCCTCGCCATGCTGGGACAGCCACAAACACCCCTCAGTGCCGTCCAACAGGGCAGCAGCGCATCCGGCTGCACAGCACGTGGGGCAGAGCTGTGGGGCAGAGCTGTGGGGCAGAGCTGTGGGGCAGATCCTGCAGCACCCCTCCATCCCCACGCTCTATGAGGCAGTGGCTCCCCATGCAGCCTTTGCTGCAACTGCAGCCCAGTTCTGTGCAGCAGCCCGGTTCTGTGCAGCAGCCTGGTTGCATGCAGCAGCCCAGTTCCATGCAGCAGCTTGGTTCCATGCAGCAGCCCGGTTCTGTGCAGCAGCCTGGTTGCATGCAGCAGCCTGGTTCTGTGCAGCAGCCTGGTTACATGCAGCAGCCTGGTTCTGTGCAGCAGCCTGGTTGCATGCAGCAGCCCGGTTCTGTGCAGCAGCCTGGTTGCATGCAGCAGCCTGGTTGCATGCAGCAGCCTGGTTGCATGCAGCAGCCTGGTTCTGTGCAGCAGCCTGGTTCTGTGCAGCAGCCCGGTTCCATGCAGCAGCCCGGTTCTGTGCAGCAGCCCGGTTCTGTGCAGCAGCCTGGTTCTGTGCAGCAGTCTGGTTCTGTGCAGCAGCCCGGTTCTGTGCAGCAGCTTGGTTCCATGCAGCAGCCCAGTTCTGTGCAGCAGCCTGGTTACATGCAGCAGCCTGGTTCTGTGCAGCAGCCTGGTTGCATGCAGCAGCCCGGTTCTGTGCAGCAGCCTGGTTGCATGCAGCAGCCTGGTTGCATGCAGCAGCCTGGTTGCATGCAGCAGCCTGGTTCTGTGCAGCAGCCTGGTTCTGTGCAGCAGCCCGGTTCCATGCAGCAGCCCGGTTCTGTGCAGCAGCCTGGTTCTGTGCAGCAGCCCGGTTCTGTGCAGCAGCCTGGTTGCATGCAGCAGCCCAGTTCCGTGCAGCAGCTTGGTTCCATGCAGCAGCCCGGTTCTGTGCAGCAGCCTGGTTGCATGCAGCAGCCCAGTTCCATGCAGCAGCCTGGTTCTGTGCAGCAGCCCAGTTCTGTGCAGCAGCCCGGTTCTGTGCAGCAGCCTGGTTGCATGCAGCAGCCCGGTTCCATGCAGCAGCCTGGTTCTGTTCATCGGCTGCTTCTGCAGCCCAGTTCTGTGTGTCAGCCCTGGTTCTGCCCATCAGCCTGGTTCAGTGCATTGCCCCAGTTCTGCCCATCAGCCCAGTTCTGCCCATCACCCTGGTTTGGCCCATCATCCTGGTTCTGCCCTCAGCCCAGTTCTACCCATCAGCCCGGTTCTGCCCTCAGCCCAGTTCGGTCCATCATTCCAATTCTGCCCATCAGCCCAGTTCCTGCCCAATATCCCAGTTCCCTCCATCATTCCAGTTCTGCCCATCACCCTGGTTCTGCCCTCAGCCCAGTTCTGCCCTCAGCCCAGTTCTGCCCATCACCCCGGTTTGGCCCATCACCCTGGTTCTGCCCATCAGCGCGGTTCGGTTCTGCAGGTGCAGAGCTGTTTGCAGCAGCAGGAGCAGCGGCTGCAGGCGCAGCGGAGCCGGCTGGAGGCAGAGCGGGAGGAGCTGCAGCGGCTGCAGCTGTGGGTGGCGGCGGCCGAGGAGGCGCTGAGCGAGCGGGACGGCGAGCCGCTGCCAGAGTGCAGCCAGCTGCTGCGGGAGCTCAGCAGGCAGCATGCGGTGCGGGGGGGCATGGGGGTGGATGGGGGGGGGAGCAGCAGTGCTGTGCTGCAGGAGTGCATGGGGGTGTTATGGGGTGGGGGCTGAGCAGCAGTGCTGTGCTGCAGGAGTGCATGGGGGAGTCATGGGGTGGGGGGTGTTTGGGGTGGGGGCTGAGCAGCAGTGCTGTGCTGCAGGAGTGCATGGGATGGGGGGGGGTATTTGGGGGGGGCTGAGCAGCAGTGCTGTGCTGCAGGAGTGCATGGGATGGGGGGGGGTATTTGGGGGGGGCTGAGCAGCAGTGCTGTGCTGCAGGAGTGCATGGGATGGGGGGGGTATTTGGGGGGGGCTGAGCAGCAATGCTGTGCTGCAGGACTACGTGGGGGGGTGTATGGGGAAGCTGAGCAGCAGTGCTGTGCTGCAGGAGTGCATGGGGGGCATTTGGGGGGGCTGAGCAGCAGTGCTGTGCTGCGGGAGTGCATGGGGTGGGGGGGTATTTAGGGGGGGCTGAGCAGCAGTGCTGTGCTGCAGGAGTGCATTGGGGGGGTATTTAGGGGGGGCTGAGCAGCAGTGCTGTGCTGCAGGAGTGCATGGGGGGTGTATGGGGAAGCTGAGCAGCAGTGCTGTGCTGCAGGGGTGCATGGGGGAGTCATGGGGTGGGGGGTGTTTGGGGTGGGGGCTGAGCAGCAGTGCTGTGCTGCAGGAGTGCATGGGGGAGTATTTAGGGGGGGCTGAGCAGCAGTGCTGTGCTGCAGGAGTGCATTGGGGGGGTATTTGGGGGGAGCTGAGCAGTAATGCTGTGCTGCAGGAGTGCATTCGGGGTGTATGGGGAAGCTGAGCAGCAATGTGTGGGGAGGTGTATGGGGGAACTGAGCATCAATGCTGTGCTGCAGGAGTGCATGGGGGGTGTATGGGGAAGCTGAGCAGTAATGCTGTGCTGCAGGAGTGTGTGGGGTGGGGGGTAATTGGGGGGGGGGCTGAGCAGCAATGCTGTGCTGCAGGACTTCTTGGGGTGGGGGATATTTGCGGTGCGGGATGAGCAGCAGTGCTCAACCCTGTGCTGCAGGAGTGCATGGGGGGTATTTGGGGTGGATGGGGGAGCTGAGCAGCAATGCAGGAGTGCATTGGGGTGTCATGGCGTGGGGGAGGTGTTTGGGGTGGGGGCTGAGCAGCAGTGCTGTGCTGCAGGAGTGCATGGGGGGGTATTTGGGGTGGGCTGAGCAGCAGTGCTGTGCTGCAGGAGTTCATGGAGGAGCTGAACCGCAAGCAGGACGACATGGACAAGGCGACCAAAGGCTGCAGGGAGAAACTGAGCGCGGAGCTGAGCGCAGGCAGCGCGCGCAGGGGGGCTGCACGTGAGTCATGCGTGCGGCCCCATAACGTGACCCCATGAACAGCACTGCATGCACTGTGTCCCTATAATGTGACCCCATGCCCTCCTGTGTCCCTATAATGTGACCCCATGCCCTCCTGTGTCCCTATAATGTGACCCCATGCCCTCCTGTGTCCCTACAAGGTGACCCCATGCCCTCCTGTGTCCCTATAATGTGACCCCATGCCCTCCTGTGTCCCTATAATGTGACCCCATGCCCCCCTGTGTCCCTACAAGGTGACCCCATGCCCTCCTGTGTCCCTATAATGTGACCCCATGCCCTCCTGTGTCCCCACAACGTGACCCCATGCCCTCCTGTGTCCCTATAATGTGACCCCATGCCCTCCTGTGTCCCTACAAGGTGACCCCATGCCCTCCTGTGTCCCTATAATGTGACCCCATGCCCCCCTGTGTCCCTACAATGTGACCCCATGCCCTCCTGTGTCCCTATAATGTGACCCCATGTCCTCCTGTGTCCCTACAAGGTGACCCCATGTCCTCCTGTGTCCCTACAATGTGACCCCATGCCCCCCTGTGTCCCTATAATGTGACCCCATGCCCTCCTGTGTCCCTACATTGTGACCCCATGTCCTCCTGTGTCCCTACAATGTGACCCCATGCCCTCCTGTGTCCCTATAATGTGACCCCATGCCCTCCTGTGTCCCTATAATGTGACCCCATGCCCCCCTGTGTCCCTACAAGGTGACCCCATGCCCTCCTGTGTCCCTATAATGTGACCCCATGCCCTCCTGTGTCCCTATAATGTGACCCCATGCCCTCCTGTGTCCCTGCAAGGTGACCCCATGCCCTCCTGTGTCCCTATAATGTGACCCCATGCCTTCCTGTGTCCCTACAAGGTGACCCCATGCCCTCCTGTGTCCCTACAAGGTGACCCCATGCCCCCTTGTGTCCCTACAATGTGACCCCATGCCCTCCTGTGTCCCTACAATGTGACCCCATGCCCCCTTGTGTCCCTATAATGTGACCCCATGCCCCCCTGTGTCCCTACAATGTGACCCCATGCCCTCCTGTGTCCCTACAAGGTGACCCCATGCCCTCCTGTGTCCCTATAATGTGACCCCATGCCCTCCTGTGTCCCTACAAGGTGACCCCATGCCCCCCTGTGTCCCTATAATGTGACCCCATGCCCTCCTGTGTCCCTACATTGTGACCCCATGTCCTCCTGTGTCCCTACAATGTGACCCCATGCCCTCCTGCGTCCCTATAATGTGACCCCATGCCCTCCTGTGTCCCTACAATGTGACCCCATGCCCTCCTGTGTCCCTATAATGTGACCCCATGCCCTCCTGTGTCCCTATAATGTGACCCCATGCCCTCCTGTGTCCCTATAATGTGACCCCATGCCCTCCTGTGTCCCTATAATGTGACCCCATGCCCCCCTGTGTCCCTATAATGTGACCCCATGCCCCCCTGTGTCCCTATAATGTGACCCCATGCCCTCCTGTGTCCCTACAAGGTGACCCCATGCCCTCCTGTGTCCCTATAATGTGACCCCATGCCCCCCTGTGTCCCTACAATGTGACCCCATGCCCTCCTGTGTCCCTACAATGTGACCCCATGCCCTCCTGTGTCCCTATAATGTGACCCCATGCCCTCCTGTGTCCCTATAATGTGACCCCATGCCCTCCTGTGTCCCTACAAGGTGACCCCATGCCCCCCTGTGTCCCTACAAGGTGACCCCATGCCCCCCTGTGTCCCTATAATGTGACCCCATGCCCCCCTGTGTCCCTATAATGTGACCCCATGCCCTCCTGTGTCCCTATAATGTGACCCCATGCCCTCCTGTGTCCCTACAAGGTGACCCCATTCCTGTGTCCCTACAAGGTGACCCCATGCCCTCCTGTGTCCCTATAATGTGACCCCATGCCCCCCTGTGTCCCTACAAGGTGACCCCATGCCCTCCTGTGTCCCTACAATGTGACCCCATGCCCTCCTGTGTCCCTATAATGTGACCCCATGCCCTCCTGTGTCCCTATAATGTGACCCCATGCCCTCCTGTGTCCCTATAATGTGACCCCATGCCCTCCTGTGTCCCTACAAGGTGACCCCATGCCCTCCTGTGTCCCTATAATGTGACCCCATGCCCTCCTGTGTCCCTACAATGTGACCCCATGCCCTCCTGTGTCCCTACAAGGTGACCCCATGCCCTCCTGTGTCCCTACAATGTGACCCCATGCCCTCCTGTGTCCCAAAATGTGACCCCATGCCCCCCTGTGTCCCTACAATGTGACCCCATGCCCTCCTGTGTCCCTACAAGGTGACCCCATGCCCTGTCCCCCCACAGGACGCCGCAGCAGCCCCAAAGGCGCCCTGCAGCCCGCAGTGCCGCTGGTTGCAGCAGAGCCGCCTCCTCCCGTGGTGTCGCAGCTCCTGCAGCGCTGGCAGCAGCTGTGGCTGTCGGCGTTGCAGCGGCAGTACCGGCTGGAGACGGCGATGCAGCGCCTGCAGGAGGTACGGCTGCAGCTGCAGTGTGAGCTGCGGGCTGCTGCTGGGGGCTGAGGGCTGGGTGCTGTGTGCTGGCTGTTGCATTCTAGGTGCTGGGTGCTGGGTGCTGGGTGCTGGGTGCTGGGTGCTGGGTGCTGCATGCTGGGTTGTGGGTGCTGGGTGCTGGGTGCTGCGTGCTGCGTGCTGCGTGCTGGGTGCTGTGTGCTGGCTGCTGCATGCTGGGTGCTGGGTGCTGGGTGCTGCATGCTGGGTGCTGGGTGCTGGGTGCTGGGTGCTGCATGCTGGGTGCTGGGTGCTGGGTGCTGTGTGCTGGGTGCTGCATGCTGGGTGCTGGGTGCTGGGTGCTGCATGCTGGGTGCTGGGTGCTGGGTGCTGCATGCTGGGTGCTGGGTGCTGGGTGCTGGGTGCTGCATGCTGGGTTGTGGGTGCTGTGTGCTGGGTGCTGCATGCTGGGTGCTGGGTGCTGGGTGCTGGGTGCTGCATGCTGGGTGCTGGGTGCTGGGTTGTGGGTGCTGGGTTCTGGGTGCTGCATGCTGGGTGCTGGGTGCTGGGTGCTGAATGCTGGGTGCTGGGTGCTGGGTTGTGGGTGTTGGGTGCTGCATGCTGGGTTGTGGGTGCTGGGTGCTGGGTGCTGGGTGCTGGATGCTGCATGCTGGGTTCTGGGTGCTGGGTGCTGCATGCTGGGTTGTGGGTGCTGTGTGCTGGGTGCTGCATGCTGGGTGCTGGGTGCTGTGCAGTGCATGCTGTGTGCTGGGTGTTGTGTGCTGGGGGCTGCGGGCTGTGTGTGCTGCGCAGTGCGTGCTGTGCTGTGTGCTGTGCAGTGCGTGCTGGGTGCTGGGTGCTGGATGCTGGGTGTGCTCTGTGCTGGGTGCTGCGTGCTGGGAGCTGGGTGCTGTGTGTGCTGTGCAGCGTGTGCTGGTGCTGGGTGCTGGGTGCTGGATGCAGCGTGTGCTCTGTGCTGGGTGCTGCCTGCTGGGTGCTGGGTGCTGCATGCTGGGTTGTGGGTGCTGTGTGCTGGGTGCTGCGTGCTGGGTGCTGGGTGCTGGGTGCTGCATGCTGGGTGCTGCCTGCTGGGTGCTGGGTGCTGGGTGCTGCATGCTGGGTTCTGGGTGCTGTGTGCTGGGAGCTGGGTGCTGTGTGTGCTGTGCAGCGTGTGCTGGTGCTGGGTGCTGGGTGCTGGATGCAGCGTGTGCTCTGTGCTGGGTGCTGCCTGCTGGGTGCTGGGTCCTGGGTATGCTATGCAGCGTGTGCTGATGCTGGGTGCTGCATGCTGGGTGCTGGGTGTGCTGTGCAGTGCAGTGCTGTGTGCTGTGCTCAGTGCAGTGCTGTGCTGGCTGTGCTGGGTGCAGTGCAGGTGGGGATGGCAGCGCTGCACCTTGTTTGCCTTGAAGTCTTTACGAGAGGAGATGGCAGCAGGATGAGGGAAATGGTTTGAAGCTGAGGGAGGGCAGCTGGAGGTTGGATGTCAGGGGAAGTTCTGTGCTGTGAGAGCGGTGAGGGGCTGAACAGCTGCCCAGAGAGGCTGTGATGCCCCGTCCATCCCTGGAGGTGTTCAGGTTGGAAGGGGCCCTGGGCAGCCTGGGCTGCTGTGAAACGGGGAGGTTGGTGGCCCTGCTGTGGTGGGGGTTGGAGCTTCATCACCCTCGGGGTCGCTCCCAACCCCAGCATTGCGTGATGCTCTGCGCAGCCATTCTTTAGGGGTGCTGCCGGGGGTCCCGCACCCAAACCCCCCCCCCCTGTTGGCCGAGGGCTCAGTGCACGAATGGCTCCTCTGTGTGCCCCCAGCTGGAGGAGTTCTCCCACTTTGACTTCGGGCAGTGGAGGCAGCGCTTCCTGCAGTGGATCGCGCAGATGAAATCCCGCGCCCTCGACGTCTTCCGCAGCATCGACCGCGATCAGGACGGGCGCATCAGCCTCAGGGAGTTCATGGACAGCCTGCTCAGCTCCAGTGAGAGCGGGACGGGGGGGAAAACGGGGCGGGGGGCCCTCGGATGAGGGGATGGGGGGCGGAGGGGCGCCTTGGGTGCATCGTCCCCATTGGGTGCCCCATCCATGTTCAATGCCCCGTCCCCATTAGGTGTCCTGTTCCCATTGGGTGTCCCGTCCCCATTGGGTGTCCTGTCCCCATTGGGTGCCACGTCCCCATTGGGTGCCCCGTCCCCATTGGGAGCCCCGTCCATGTTGGGTGCATCGTCCCCATTGGGTGCCCCATCCATGTTCAATGCCATGTCCCCATTAGGTGTCCTGTCCCCATTGGGTGTCCCGTCCCCATTGGGTGCCCCGTCCCCATTGGGTGCCCCGTCCCCATTGGGTGTCCTGTCCCCATTGGGTGCCCCGTCCACGTTGAATGCCATGTCCCCATTGGGTGTCCCGTCCCCATTGGGTGTCCCATCTCCATTGAGTGTCCCGTCCGCATTGGGTGCCCCGTCCCCATTGGGTGTCCCATCCCCATTGGGTGCCTCGTCCCCATTAGGTGTCCTGTCTCCATTGGGTGCCCCGTCCCCATTGGGTGCCCCATCCCCATTGGGTGTCCCGTCCCCATTGGGTGCCCCGTCCCCATTGGGTGCCACGTCCCCATTGGGTGCCCCATCCCCATTGGATGTCCTGTCCCCATTGGGTGCCACGTCCACGTTGAATGCCATGTCCCCATTGGGTGTCCCGTCCCCATTGGGTGCCACGTCCCCATTGGATGTCCTGTCCCCATTGGGTGTCCCATCCCCATTGGGTGCCACGTCCCCATTGGGTGCCCCGTCCACGTTGAATGCCATGTCCCCATTGGGTGTCCTGTCCCCGTTGGGTGTCCTGTCCCCATTGAGTGCCATGTCCCCATTGGGTGTCCTGTCCCCGTTGGGTGTCCTGTCCCCATTGAGTGCCATGTCCCCATTGGGTGTCCTGTCCCCGTTGGGTGTCCTGTCCCCATTGGATGCCACGTTCCCGTTGGGTGCCCCGTCCCCATTGGGTGCCCCGTCCCCATTGGGTGTCCCATCTCCATTGGGTGTCCCGTCCCCATTGGGTGCCCCGTCCCCATTGGGTGTCTGGTCCCCATTGGGTGTCCCGTCCCCGTTGGGTGTCTGGTCCCCATTGGGTGTTCCGTCCCCGTTGGGTGTCCCGTCCCCGTTGGGTGTCCTGTCCCCATTGGGTGTCCTGTCCCCATTGGGTGCCATGTCCTCATTGGATGTCCTGTCCCCATTGGGTGCCATGTCCTCATTGGGTGTCCTGTCCCATTGGGTGCCACGTCCCCATTGGGTGCCCCGTCCCCATTGGGTGTCCTGTCCCCATTGGGTGCCCCGTCCATGTTGGGTGCCCCATCCCCATTGGGTGCCCCGTCCCCATTGAGTGCCCCGTCCCCGTTGGGTGCCCCGTCCATGTTGGGTGCCACGTCCCCATTGGGTGCCCCATCCCCATTGGGTGCCCCATCCCCATTGGGTGCCCCGTCTCCATTGGGTGCTCCGTCCCTGCTGGGTGTCCTGTTCCTACTGGGTATCCTGTCCCCATTGTGTGACCCGTCCCCATTGCTGCCTCATCCCCACTGCTGCCCTGTCTCCATTGATGTCCCATCCATCCCCATTTGTGCCCCATCCCCATTGGTGCCCCATCCCACTTGGTGCCCCATCCCCATTCGTGCCCCAACCCCATTGATGTCCCATCCCCATTAGAGCCCCATCCCCATTGGTGTTCCATCCATCCCCATTGGTGTCCCATCCATCCCCATTGGTGTCCCATCCATCCCCATTTGTGCCCCTTCCCCATTGTGTGACTTGTCCCCATTGGTATCCCATCCATCCCCATTGGTGTCCCATCCATCCCCATTGGTGTCCCATCCATCCCCATTGGTGCCCCCTCCCCGTTGGTGCCCCAACCCCATTGCTGCCCTATCCCCACTGGTGTCCCCTCACTATTGATGTCCCATCCATCCTCATTTGTGCCCCATCCCCATTGGTTCCCCTCCCTATTGATGCCCGGTCCCCATTGGTGCCCCTTCCCCATTGGTGCCCCATCCATCCCCATTGGTCTCCCAACCCCATTGATGTCCCATCCCCATTGGTAACCCATCTCCAATGGTGTCCCATCCATCCCCATTGGTGCCCCATCCATCCCCATTGGTTTCCATCCCCATTTGTGTCCCATCCCCATTGGTGCCCCATCCATCACTATTGGTGTCCCATCCATCCCCATTGTTGCCCCATTGCCATTGGTGCCCCATCCCCATTGATGTCCCATCCCCACTCTGATGCCCGTCCCTATTGGTCCCCATCCCCATTGATGTCCCATCCCCATTGGTGTCCCATCCCCATTGGGTGACCTGTCCCCATTGGTATCCTATCACTATTGGTGCCCCATCCATCCCCATTGGTCTCCCAACCCCATTGGTGTCCCATCCCCATTGGTGCCCCATCCCCATTGATGTCCCATCCCCACTGATGCCCGTCCCTGTTGGTCCCCATCCCCATTGGTGTCCCATCCCCATTGGTGCCCCATCCCTACTGGTCCCCATCCCCACTGATGTCTCATCCCCATTGGTGCCCCATCCCTACTGGTCCCTATCCCCATTGATGTCCCATCCCCATTGGTGTCCCATCCATCCCCACTGATGTCCCATCCCCACTGATGCCCATCCCTATTGGTCCCCATTCCCATTTGTGCCCCATCCCCATTGGGTGACCTGTCCCCATTGGTATCCTATCACTATTGGTGTCCCATCCATCCCCATTGGTGTCCCATCCCCATTTGTGCCCCATCCCCATTGGTGTCCCATCCCCATTGGTGTCCCATCCCCATTTGTGCCTCATCCCCATTGGTTCCCATCCCCATTGATGTCCCATCCCCATTGGTTCCCATCCCCATTGGTTCCCATCCCCATTGATGTCCCATCCCCATTGGTTCCCATCCCCATTGGTTCCCATCCCCATTGGTGTCCCATTCATCCCCATTGGTGCCCCATCCCCATTTGTGCCCCATCCCCATTGGTTCCCATCCCCATTGGTGTCCCATCCCCACTTGTGCCCGATCCCCATTGGTTCCCATCCCCATTGCTGCCCCATCCCCATTGGTGTCCCATCCCCATTGGTGTCCCATCCCCATTGGTGCCCCATCCCCATTGGTGTCCCATCCCCATTGGTTCCCATCCCCATTGGTGTCCCATCCATCCCCATTTGTGCCCCATCCCCATTGGTTCCCATCCCCATTGGTGTCCCATCCATCCCCATTGGTGTCCCATTCATCCCCATTTGTGCCCCATCCCCATTGGTTCCCATCCCCATTAGTGTCCCATCCATCCCCATTGGTGCCCCATCCCTATTGGTCCCCCATCCCCATTGCTGTCCCATCCCCATTGGTGCCCCATCCATCCCCATTGGAGCCCCCTCCCCAATTGATGCCCATCCCTATTGGCCCCCATCCCCATTGGTGCCCCATCGCTATTTGTGCCCCATCCCATTGATTCCCGTCCCATTGCTGCCCCCACCCCACGCAGGGTTCCCCACCAACACGCTGGAGATGACGGCGGTTGCGAACATCTTCGACACCAACGGCGACGGCTTCATCGATTACTGCGAGTTCGTCAGCGCGCTGCACCCCAACCGCGACCCACAGCGCCGCGGCGCCGACGCTGATCGCATCCAGGCTGAGGTATGGGGAGCAGCTGTGGGTGCAGCAAGGAGCAGCTGTGGGTGCAGCAGGGAGCAGCTGTGGGTGCAGCAGGGAGCAGCTGTGGGTGCAGCAAGGAGCAGCTGAGGGTGCAGCAGGGAGCAGCTGTGGGTGCAGCAGGGAGCAGCTGTGGGTGCAGCAAGGAGCAGCTGTGGGTGCAGCAGGGAGCAGCTGTGGGTGCAGCGGGGAGCAGCTGTGGGTGCAGCAAGGAGCAGCTGAGGGTGCAGCTGGGAGCAGCTGTGGGTGCAGCGGGGAGCAGCTGTGGGTGCAGCAAGGAGCAGCTGTGGGTGCAGCTGGGAGCAGCGCTGGGTGCAGCAGGGAGCAGCTGTGGGTGCAGCAGGGCTGTGCTGTGGGTGCAGCAAGGAGCAGCTGTGGGTGCAGCTGGGAGCAGCTGTGGGTGCAGCAAGGAGCAGCTGTGGGTGCAGCTGGGAGCAGCTGTGGGTGCAGCAGGGAGCAGCTGTGGGTGCAGCTGGGAGCAGCTGTGGGTGCAGCTGGGTGCAGCTGTGGGTGCAGCAAGGAGCAGCTGTGGGTGCAGCTGGGAGCAGCTGTGGGTGCAGCAAGGAGCAGCTGTGGGTGCAGCTGGGAGCAGCTGTGGGTGCAGCAGGGAGCAGCTGAGGGTGCAGCAGGGAGCAGCTGTGGGTGCAGCAGGGAGCAGCTGTGGGTGCAGCAAGGAGCAGCTGTGGGTGCAGCAGGGAGCAGCTGTGGGTGCAGCAAGGAGCAGCTGTGGGTGCAGCTGGGAGCAGCTGTGGGTGCAGCAGGGAGCAGCTGTGGGTGCAGCAAGGAGCAGCTGAGGGTGCAGCAGGGAGCAGCTGTGGGTGCAGCAGGGAGCAGCTGTGGGTGCAGCTGGGAGCAGCTGTGGGTGCAGCAGGGAGCAGCTGTGGGTGCAGCAAGGAGCAGCTGTGGGTGCAGCTGGGAGCAGCTGTGGGTGCAGCAGGGAGCAGCTGTGGGTGCAGCGGGGAGCAGCTGTGGGTGCAGCAGGGAGCAGCTGTGGGTGCAGCAAGGAGCAGCTGTGGGTGCAGCAGGGAGCAGCTGTGGGTGCAGCTGGGAGCAGCTGTGGGTGCAGCTGGGAGCAGCTGAGGGTGCAGCAGGGAGCAGCTGTGGGTGCAGCTGGGAGCAGCTGTGGGTGCAGCTGGGAGCAGCTGTGGGTGCAGCAGGGAGCAGCTGTGGGTGCAGCAAGGAGCAGCTGAGGGTGCAGCAGGGAGCAGCTGTGGGTGCAGCTGGGAGCAGCTGTGGGTGCAGCAAGGAGCAGCTGTGGGTGCAGCTGGGAGCAGCTGTGGGTGCAGCAGGGAGCAGCTGTGGGTGCAGCAAGGAGCAGCTGAGGGTGCAGCAGGGAGCAGCTGTGGGTGCTGCAGGGAGCAGCTGTGGGTGCAGCTGGGAGCAGCTGTGGGTGTAGCAAGGAGCAGCTGTGGGTGCAGCAAGGAGCAGCTGTGGGTGCAGCTGGGAGCAGCGCTGGGTGCAGCAGGGAGCAGCTGTGGGTGCAGCAGGGCTGTGCTGTGGGTGCAGCAAGGAGCAGCTGTGGGTGCAGCTGGGAGCAGCTGTGGGTGCAGCAGGGAGCAGCTGTGGGTGCAGCTGGGAGCAGCTGTGGGTGCAGCTGGGTGCAGCTGTGGGTGCAGCAAGGAGCAGCTGTGGGTGCAGCAAGGAGCAGCTGTGGGTGCAGCTGGGAGCAGCTGTGGGTGCAGCAGGGAGCAGCTGTGGGTGCAGCAAGGAGCAGCTGTGGGTGCAGCTGGGAGCAGCTGAGGGTGCAGCAGGGAGCAGCTGTGGGTGCAGCAAGGAGCAGCTGTGGGTGCAGCTGGGAGCAGCTGTGGGTGCAGCTGGGAGCAGCTGTGGGTGCAGCAGGGAGCAGCTGTGGGTGCAGAATGGAGCAGCTGTGGGTGCAGCAGGGCTGTGCTGTGGGTCTGACCCTGGTGGGGACCCCCAGGTGAACAGGCAGGTGGCCCAATGCAACTGTGCCAAGCGCTTCCAGGTGGAGCAGATCAGCGCCAACCGATACCGCGTGAGTGCCAGCCTGCGCTGGGGGCCTCTGTGGGACGCATTGTGTGGGGCACCGGGCACCAAAACCCCCATCATGGGCACCAAAATCCTCATCATGGGCACCAAACCCCCATAATGGGCACCAAAATCCTCATCATGGGCACCAAAATCCCCATAATGGGCACCAAAACCCCCATCATGGGCACCAAAATCCCAATAATGGGCACCAAAATCCTCATCATGGGCACCAAACCCCCATAATGGGCACCAAAATCCTCATCATGGGCACCAAAACCCCCATAATGGGCACCAAAACCCCCATCATGGGCACCAAAATCCCAATAATGGGCACCAAAATCCTCATCATGGGCACCAAAATCCCAATAATGGGCACCAAAATCCTCATCATGGGCACCAAAACCCCCATCATGGGCACCAAAACCCCCATAATGGCCACCAAAATCCTCATCATGGGCACCAAAAGCCCCATCATGGGCACCCAAATCCTCATCATGGGCACCAAAACCCCCATCATGGGCACCAAAATCCTCATCATGGGCACCAAAATCCCAATAATGGGCACCAAAACCCCAATAATGGGCACCAAAATCCCCATAATGGGCACCAAAATCCTCATCATGGGCACCAAACCCCCATAATGGGCACCAAAACCCCCATCATGGGCACCCAAATCCTCATCATGGGCACCAAAAGCCCCATCATGGGCACCCAAATCCTCATCATGGGCACCAAAATCCCAATAATGGGCACCAAAATCCTCATAATGGGCACTAAAACCCCATCATGGGCACCAAAACCCCCATCATGGGCACCCAAATCCACATCATGGGCACCAAAACCCCCATAATGGGCACCAAACCCCCATAATGGGCACCAAAATCCTCATCATGGGCACCAAAATCCTCATCATGGGCACCAAAACCCCCATAGTGGGCACCAAAACCCCCATCATGGGCACCAAAACCCCCATCATGGGCACCAAAACCCCCAAAATGGGCACCAAAACCCCCATCATGGGCACCAAAACCCCCAAAATGGGCACCAAAACCCCAATAATGGGCACCAAAATCCTCATCATGGGCACCAAAACCCCAATAATGGGCACCAAAATCCTCATCATGGGCACCAAAACCCCCATAATGGGCACCAAACCCCCATCATGGGCACCAAAATCCTCATCATGGGCACCAAAATCCCCATAATGGGCAGCAAAATCCTCATCATGGGCACCAAACCCCCATAATGGGCACCAAAATCCCCATCATGGGCACCAAAATCCTCATCATGGGCACCAAAACCCCAATAATGGGCACTGGACACTGAAATCCCCACTAATGAGCACCGTGCACCAAAATCCTCACTGATGGGTAATGGGAGACCAAAATCCCCACTAATGGACGCTGGGAGACCCAAACCCTCAGTGATGGGCACTGGGAGACCAAAATCCTCCATAATGGGCACCACTGGGCACCCCGACATCACCATCCCCACTGCTGGGCACCCTGACATCACCATCCCCATTACTGGGCACCCTGACATCACCATCCCCACTGCTGGGCTCCCTGACATCCCCATCCCCACTGCTGGGCACCCTGACATCCCCATCCCCACTGCTGGGCACCCTGACATCCCCATCCCCATTACTGGGCACCCTGACATCCCCATCCCCAATGCTGGGCACCCTGACATCACCATCCCCACTGCTGGGCACCCTGACATCACCATCCCTCGTATTGGGCACCCTGACATCACCATCCCCACTGCTGGGCACCCTGACATCCCCATCCCCATTACTGGGCACCCTGACATCACCATCCCCACTGCTGGGCACCCTGACATCCCCATCCCCAATGCTGGGCACCCTGACATCACCATCCCCACTGCTGGGCACCCTGACATCCCCATCCCCATTACTGGGCACCCTGACATCACCATCCCCATTACTGGGCACCCTGACATCACCATCCCCACTGCTGGGCACCCTGACATCCCCATCCCCAGTGCTGGGCACCCTGACATCCCCATCCCCATTACTGGGCACCCTGACATCCCCATCCCCAATGCTGGGCACCCTGACATCCCCATCCCCAATGCTGGGCACCCTGACATCACCATCCCCACTGCTGGGCACCCTGACATCCCCATCCCCACTGCTGGACACCCTGACATCACCATCCCCACTGCTGGGCACCCTGACATCACCATCCCCATTACTGGGCACCCTGACATCCCCATCCCCAATGCTGGGCACCCTGACATCACCATCCCCATTACTGGGCACCCTGACATCCCCATCCCCAATGCTGGGCACCCTGACATCACCATCCCCATAACTGGGCACCCTGACATCACCATCCCCACTGCTGGGCACCCTGACATCCCCATCCCCACTGCTGGGCACCCTGACATCACCATCCCCATTACTGGGCACCCTGACATCCCCATCCCCATAACTGGGCACCCTGACATCACCATCCCCATAACTGGGCACCCTGACATCCCCATCCCCACTGCTGGACACCCTGACATCACCATCCCCATAACTGGGCACCCTGACATCACCATCCCCAATGCTGGGCACCCTGACATCCCCATCCCCACTGCTGGGCACCCTGACATCACCATCCCCACTGCTGGGCACCCTGACATCACCATCCCCATAACTGGGCACCCTGACATCACCATCCCCAATGCTGGGCACCCTGACATCACCATCCCCACTGCTGGACACCCTGACATCACCATCCCCATTACTGGGCACCCTGACATCACCATCCCCATAACTGGGCACCCTGACATCACCATCCCCACTGCTGGGCACCCTGACATCACCATCCCCATTGCTGGGCACCCTGACATCACCATCCCCACTGCTGGCACCCTGACATCACCATCCCCACTGCTGGGCACCCTGACATCACCATCCCCACTGCTGGGCACCCTGACATCACCATCCCCACTGCTGGGCACCCTGACATCACCATCCCCACTGCTGGGCACCCTGACATCACCATCCCCACTGCTGGGCACCCTGACATCACCATCCCCACTGCTGGACACCCTGACATCACCATCCCCACTGCTGGGCACCCTGACATCACCATCCCCATTACTGGGCACCCTGACATCACCATCCCCATTACTGGGCACCCTGACATCACCATCCCCATAACTGGGCACCCTGACATCACCATCCCCACTGCTGGACACCCTGACATCACCATCCCCACTGCTGGGCACCCTGACATCACCATCCCCATAACTGGGCACCCTGACATCACCATCCCCACTGCTGGGCACCCTGACATCCCCATCCCCACTGCTGGGCACCCTGACATCACCATCCCCATTACTGGGCACCCTGACATCACCATCCCCACTGCTGGACACCCTGACATCACCATCCCCACTGCTGGGCACCCTGACATCACCATCCCCATAACTGGGCACCCTGACATCACCATCCCCACTGCTGGGCACCCTGACATCACCATCCCCACTGCTGGGCACCCTGACATCACCATCCCCACTGCTGGGCACCCTGACATCACCATCCCCATTGCTGGGCACCCTGACATCACCATCCCCACTGCTGGGCACCCTGACATCCCCATCCCCACTGCTGGACACCCTGACATCACCATCCCCATTACTGGGCACCCTGACATCCCCATCCCCACTGCTGGGCACCCTGACATCACCATCCCTGGTATTGGGCACCCTGACATCACCATCCCCATAACTGGGCACCCTGACATCACCATCCCCACTGCTGGGCACCCTGACATCACCATCCCCAGTGCTGGGCACCCTGACATCACCATCCCCAGTGCTGGGCACCCTGACATCCCCATCCCCAATGCTGGGCACCCTGACATCACCATCCCCACTGCTGGGCACCCTGACATCCCCATCCCCACTGCTGGGCACCCTGACATCCCCATCCCCAATGCTGGGCACCCTGACATCCCCATCCCCACTGCTGGGCACCCTGACATCCCCATCCCCATTGCTGGGCACCCTGACATTTCCATCCCCACTGCTGGGCACCCTGACATCCCCATCCCCAATGCTGGGCACCCTGACATCCCCATCCCCAATGCTGGGCACCCTGACATCCCCATCCCCACTGCTGGGCACCCTGACATCACCATCCCCACTGCTGGGCACCCTGACATCCCCATCCCCAATGCTGGGCACCCTGACATCACCATCCCCAGTGCTGGGCACCCTGACATCACCATCCCCATTGCTGGGCACCCTGACATCACCATCCCCATTGCTGGGCACCCTGACATCACCATCCCTCGTATTGGGCACCCTGACATCACCATCCCCGCTGCTGGACACCCCGACGTCTCCATCCCTGGCGCTGGGCAGCCCGGCGCTGCCATCCATCCCGGTGCCGGGTGCTTTTGGGCACGCAGACCCGTGTGCACCCCGAGGTGCCCGCGGCGCTGACGCGGCCGTCCCCGCAGTTCGGGGAATCGCAGCAGCTGCGGATGGTTCGCATCCTGCGCAGCACCCTGATGGTGCGCGTCGGGGGCGGTTGGATCGCGCTGGATGAATTCCTGGTGAAGAACGATCCGTGCCGAGGTGGGCGCCGCAGGGTACCGCACCTCCCCCCTCTCCCCCGGCTCTCCGCAGCCGGGACCCCCCGACCCCCCTCCCCACCGCCTCTCGCCCGCAGTGAAGGGCCGGACCAACGTGAAGATCAACGAGAAGTATCTGAGCCCCGACGCCTTCGGGGCCGCCGCCAAATGCTCGGGGATCCAATCGGCCCCCTCCTCCAAAGCGCTTTCCCCCAGCCGCTCCAATTCCAGCCTCAGCCTCTACAGCAGCGCCTCGGCCCCCAGCAGCCCCCTGGCCAGGAAGGTACGGCCGGGATCGCCCCGCACCCCCCGCATCCCCAACCCGACGCCGACCTTCTCCGTCCCGCAGTCGGTGCAACGAAGGACGCGTTCCGGTGACCGCTGCCCGCGCTCCCGCGGATCGCTGCCGCCCGACGGCGCGGAGCTGCGCTTCTCCGCGGCCGAGGAGAGCCCCGACGCGGCCCCCCCGGGTGAGCGCCGCGGGGCGGGGGGAGGTTTGGGGGCCGCTCCGCCGGAGGGCTCCGCTCATCCCCGTCGCTCCTTGCAGAGCCGCCCGACGGGTCGCCCCCGGAGCGCCGCAGCCCGTGCCGCTGACCCCCGCCGCCCGCCTTCGGCCGCCCCCACTCAGGACCGTAACCCCGGCAGCCGCCCGTCCCGGAGCCGGAGAACGGTGACGCCGCGGGACCCTCCGGCGCCGCGCCGGTGCGACCCCCAAAGCGGGGGAGCCCCTCGGTGAGGGCCGCGCTGTTCGTCCGGATCCGCCCGCGCGTGTGCGACCCCACGACCCCCCCTCCGCGGCAGCGGAGCTCCCCCGGATCCCGGTGCCCCCATCCCGGTGCCGCCGCAGCGCCGCGCTCCGCTGGGACCCCCAGGACACGTTGGGCTTCGGCCGAGGGCGGTTCCGTCCATCCGCTGCCGGTGGGCGCTGGGTCCCCTCTCGGGCTCGGAGCCCCGGTTCTGGTGCTATCCCCGACCCCTCGGCACTCAGCTGCCCACCCCCCCGGCCTGGGGGTCCCCGCATGTTCACCGCTCCCCGCTAACCGGACAGCAGTAGAGCTGAATGTAACCCCGGCGGGGCGCAGCCCCACAGTCACAATAAAGAGTAGAGGTCTTTTTCTATACGCATCCAAGGGCGTGCCGTGCCGTGCCGTCTGTCTGTCTGTCTGTCTGTCTGTCTGTGTTTGCTGCTGGGCTCGCCGCCAACCCGGTGCCACCGGCACAGACGCGGCGCCGGCCACAGTTGGCACCGAGCACCGCTGGGCGCTGCGCCGCGTCAACTCCTCAGGCAGGAACGCGGCGCTGCCATTCCTGCTGTGCCGGCTGGGGGCTGAGCGGGAGCTGCAGCCAACGCCCGCACTGCAGTGTTGGGACGGGCCGTGCCATCATCCCGTTCCAATCCCATCCCCATCCCATCCCATCCCAATCCCATTTGCATCCCAATCCCATCCCATCCCATCCCATCCCAATCCCATCCCATCCCATCCCAATCCCATTTGCATCCCAATCCCATCCCATCCCATCCCATCCCATCCCAATCCCACTTGCATCCCAATCCCATCCCATCCCATCCCATCTCACCCCATCCCATCTCATCCCATCCCATCCCATCCCATCCCACCCCATCCCACCCCACCCCATCCCATCTCATCCCATCCCATCCCATCCCATCCCACCCCATCCCATCCCATCCCATCCCATCTCATCTCATCCCACCCCACCCCACCCCATCCCATCCCACCCCATCCCACCCCACCCCATCCCATCTCATCCCATCCCATCCCACCCCATCCCACCCCATCCCATCCCATCCCATCCCATCTCACCCCATTCCATCCCATCCCATCCCATCCCACCCCATCCCACCCCACCCCATCCCATCCCATCCCATCCCATCCCATCCCACCCCATCCCACCCCATCCCATCCCATCCCACCCCATCCCATCCCATCCCATCCCATCCCATCCCATCCCACCCCATCCCACCCCACCCCATCCCATCCCATCCCATCCCATCCCATCCCATCCCATCCCATCCCATCCCATCCCATCCCATCCCACCCCATCCCATTCCATCCCACCCCATCCCATCCCATCCCATCCCATCCCATCCCACCCCATCCCACCCCATCCCACCCCATCCCACCCCATCCCACCCAATCCCACCCCATCCCATCCCACCCCATCCCATCCCATCCCATCCCACCCCATCCCACCCCACCCCATCCCATCCCATCCCATCCCATCTCATCCCATCCCATCCCAACCCGCCGGCTCTGGGGTGGCTCCGTTCCCCCCCCGGCCCCTTCGTTCCCGACCCCATCGCATCTCCGTCGTTCCCTTAAGCCGCTTCCGCTCTCATCGCTCCTCGTCGGACGGCACCGAGAAGCGCCGGTGCCGCAGCGGGGGGAGGGAATGGGGGGGGGGGGGTCCAGAGCTCCCCGCTCCCTTTGGGGCGCAGCGCCCACCACGCCCGGCGTGGGCTGCGGCCGTCGGTTCCCATTGCGCAGCGCATTCCTGCGCCCTGGAAACGGAACCCGCCCCGCACCGCCCGAAACCGGGACGCAAAACCCGGGGGTCCCCGCGCCGCTCCGTGCCCCCCAAGTGCGCGCGTGACCCCCACCGCTCTGCCCCCTTCCAAACCCCCCCCTTCGGGCTGCCCGTGGGGCGGAGGCAGCGGCTCAGCGGGGCAGAGCAACCCCGTGTCCCAGCGCACTGCAGTCGGGCCCCGTCTGCCGTGCCGTGCCGTGCCGTGCCGTGCCGTGCCGTGCCGTGCCGTGCCGTGCTGCACAGTGCCGTGCCGTGCCGTGCCGTGCCGTGCCGTGCCGTGCCGTGCTGTGCTGTGCAGCAAAGGGCCAAGCTGTGCCGTGCCGTGCAGCACGGTGCACTGCTATGCTGTTCCGGGCTTGCACCATGCCTTGCTGCACAATGGCATGCCATGCAATGCTCTGCCATGCCGTGCTGTGCTGTGCCATACAATGCCACGCCATGCCATGCAGTGCCGTGCAATGCCACGCCATGCTATGCAGTGCCACACAATGCCATGCAGCGCCACACCATGCCATGCAGTGCCATGCAACGCCATCCAATGCCACGCCATGCTATGCAGTGCCACACAATGCCATGCAACGCCACACCATGCCATGCAGTGCCACACCATGCCATGCAATGCCATGCAACGCCACACCATGCCATGCAGTGCCATGCAATGCCACTCAGTGCCATGCAATGCCACGCCATGCCATGCAGTGCCATGCAATGCCATCCAATGCCACACCATGCCATGCAGTGCCACACCATGCCATGCAATGCCATGCAATGCCACACCATGCCATGCAATGCCATACAATGCCATGCAATGCCATGCAGTGCCATGCAATGCCACGCTGTGCCATGCAGTGCCACACAATGCCACACAACGCCCCACCATGCCATGCAGTGCCACGTCACACCATGCAGTGCCATGCAATGCCACACCATGCCATGCAATGCCATACAATGCCATGCAGTGCCATGCAATGCCATGCAATGCCACACCATGCCATGCAATGCCACCCCATGCCATGCAGTGCCATGCAATGCCATACAATGCCATACAATGCCATGCAGTGCCGCGCAGTGCCAAGCCCTGCCATTCCACGTTGCGCCACTCGGTGCCACCCCCCGGGCTTCACCCGCGCCTGGATACGGGCATCCCTCCAGACAACACAGCTCCCACGCACCACAAACATTGCGCCCAAACGCAGCTCTTCCCCCCCGCTCCATCCCCTCCCCCCATCCCCCCCCCCCCCCCCCCCCCCCAGTCTCCCCGCACGGCGACCCGCATCGCCCGGCGGCCCCCGAAGCGTCCGCAGCGCCGCCCAGAGGCGAAGCGGCGGCTCAGGGTGCGGACGCGGCCCGGCTGGGGGGGGGGGGGGGTCCCCGGTGTTTGGGGCACCTCCGGGTGGGGAAACAGCCGGGGGCCGGGCTGGGGGCACGGCGCTGCGGATGGGGTCCCTCCTTAACGCTGCTCGGCCTCGGGGGGGGGGGGGAGGGGGGGCAGGGAGAGAGGATTCGGCACAGAGTGGGAGCTGCAGAGCTGGGGGGGGGGGGGGGGGAGAGGGGGGCCATGCAGGGATGTGGGGCTGCGGAGCTTCTGGGGTGGGGGGAGAGCTGCAGGGATGGGGGGGGGGGGGGGGGGGGGGGACAGAACCCACCATCAGCTCCACCACAGGCAGCACAATCCAGAAATGGGGGTGGGATTTGGGTTGGGGTCAGGGGTTGGTGGTCAGGGTTGGTTTTGGGGTTGGGGGTTAGGATTGGAGTTAAGGTTGGGGTTGGAGATGGGGCTGCTGGTCAGGGTTGGGGTTGGGGATGAGGTTAGTGTTAGGGTTGGGGTCAGGGGTTGGGGGTCAGGGTTGGTTTTGGGGTTGGGGGTTAGAATTGGAATTAAGGTTGGGGTTGGGCATGGGGTTGGGTTTGGGGTTGGGGTTGGAGGTGGGGTTGGTGGTCTGGGTTAGGGTTGGGGTTGGGGGTTAGGATTGGAGTTAAGGTTGGGGTTGGGATTGGGGTTGGGTTTGGGGTTGGTGGTCTGGGTTAGGGTTGGGGTTCAGTTGGGGTTAGGATTGGAGTTAAGATTGGGGTTGGGTTGGGTTTGGGGTTGGGGATGGGGTTGGTGGTCAGGGTTAGGGTTGGGGGTTAGGATTGGACTTGAGATTGGGGTTGGGATTGGGTTTGGGGTTGGGGATGGGGTTGGTGGTCCGGTTTAGGGTTAGGTTTGGGTTTAGGGTTGGAGATGGGTTTGGGTTTGGGGTTAGGATTGGTGTTGGGGTTGGGGATGGGGTGGTGGTCAGGGTTAGGGTTGGGGTTAGGATTGGAATTCAGGTTGGGGTTGGGTTGGGTTTGGGGTTGCTGGTCAGGGTTGGGGTTGAGGATGAGGTTAGTGTTAGGGTTGGGGTCAGGGTTAGGTTTGGGTTTAGGGTTGGAGATGGGTTTGGGTTTGGGGTTAGGATTGGTGTTGGGGATGGGATTGGTGGTCAGATTTAGGGTTGGGGTTGGAGGTTAGGATTGGAATTCAGGTTGGGATGGGGTTGGTTTTGGGGTTGGGGATGGGGTTGGTGGTCCGGGTTAGGGTTGGGGCTGGGGATTAGGATTGGAATTAAGATTGGGGTTGGGTTTGGGGTTGCTGGTCAGGATTGGGGTTGGGGATGAGGTTAGTGTTAGGGTTGGGGTCAGGGTTAGGTTTGGGTTTAGGGTTGGAGATGGGTTTGGGGTTAGGATTGGTGTTGGGGTTGGGGATGGGGTTGGTGGTCAGGTTTAGGGTTGGGGTTGGGGCTGGGGTTGGGATCAGGGCTGGGGTTGGGGTTAGGATTGGGGTTGGGGCTCAGTTGTGCTTAGGGGCCAGGGTTAAGTTGGGAGTTGAAGTTGGTTTTAGTGTTGGGTTGTCATTGGGGTCAGGTGTGGGTTGGGGTTAGGGTTGGATTTAGGGTTTTGGGGTTAGGGTTGGGATTAGGCTCAGGATTGGGGTTGGGGTTCAGTTGGGGTCGGGGTGGAGGTTGGGGTTGGGATTAAGTTTACCGTTGGGGGTCAGGGTTGCGGTCAGGGTTGGGGATTTAGGATTTAGGGTCGGGCTTGGGTTTGGGTTCAGGATTGAGGTTTGGTTTAGGGTCAGGGTCGGGGTCGGGGTTAGCTGTGGGTTTAGGGTCAGGATTAGGGTCGGGGTCGGGGTGAAGTGAACGGTTGGGCGCTCGGGGTTGGGCTCACGTCGGGCTTTCAGGGCTCCCCTCCGACCCCCTGCCGGTCCTCCCGAAGGTCGCGGGGCGGCGCTGAGCCGCGGCCGGACCCCGATGCGTTTGGGGAAGTGGGGGGGGACCGAGGAGGGGGTTTGGGGAGTGCCGCCCTCGTGCCGAAGGTGCGGGGTTGGGCCGGCTGCGTCATCCGCGGAGGCGGGGAAGGGCAAGGTATTAAACTCGCCCCGGTCCCGGGCACGAAAACGCGGCGGAGGCTTCGGGACCGCGGGCACCTGCAGGGCGCACCCGAAACGCGAGCGCCGCGGGCAGGTATGCGGGGATGGAACGGCGAGAGGCGGCGGCGGGGCTGAGCGGGGGCCGCGGGAGCGAAGCCAGGAACGCCAGGAATGCGGCTCCGCCCGCACCGGGCTGAGGACGGAGGCGGCGGACGCGGGGCGGCGGCGCGGGGAGGGGGAAGCGGGGGGGGTCCCGCGTGGGGACGGAGCGAACCCCGCACCGCGCAGCCGAACCGACGGCGGTCGGCGCCGCGGGGCAGCGAGACGGGGGGGCTCCGTGCGTCCTCCGCTCACTCGGCGGCCCCCCCCGCCCCAATTCTCGCCCTCCTGGGACGCCCCGCATCAGCCCCGACTCCCGGAGCTCCGCGGCGCCCAGCCCCGCTCCCCACCCGCAGCTCCGCCGTTCCGTCCCCGAAGCGGCGCCCCCCGCACTCGGACGATCCCGGTCCCTCTTCCCTCCCACCTGCCGCTCCGGGGTCCCGCAGAACGCGTGGCCGTGCGGGACCGAGCGCCGCAGCGACCGCAGCGGGGAGGGTTGGGAGGGCTGGGAGGGCTGCGCACGGAGCCGGGGGTGCCTGGGGGGGGGGGGGGGGGGGTGGGTGCGGGTGTGCAGCTCGTAGCACCGGGGTGGTGCTGCGTGTGGAGCAGAGCGAGGAGCAGCGTGTGGAGCAATGCCTGGAGCAACGCATCGAGCAGCGAGAGGAGCAATGAGCGGAGCAGCGCATGGAGCAATGAGTGGAGCAAATCCCGGAGCAATGCAAAGAGCGATGCATGGGGCAATGCATGGAGCAATGCACGGAACAATGCCCAAAGTAATGCCCAAAGCAATGCACAGTGCGGTGCACACCGTCGCCAGGTTGTGCAGTGCTGTGCAGTGCTGTGCAGTGCTGTGCAAGGCTGTGCTGTGCTGTGCAGGGCTGAGCAGTGCTGTGCCGTGCTGCGCTGTGCAGTGCTGTGCAAGGCTGTGCAGTGCAGTGCAGTGCTGAGGAGCACCTGGAGCGCAGCCAGGAGCTGCCCTGCTCACAGCTCACCTTACTCACAGTTTCCGTGGGGCTGACGCCGTGCAATGAAAGGGAGCAGCCCCCTCCCCCCCCACCCCCCACCTCCTCCTCGTGCCCCCTCCCCTCCCTTCCCCACCCCACTGCCTCCTCCCTGTGCCTCACAGGGCAGCTGAGCTGCGAGTCTCCTTTCCCGCAGCCCCCGCGGAGGCTTTGTGTCAAACCTGAGCGCTGCCCCGCTCCGGGCTGAAGGTTTGGAGCTACGGAAGCAGAAAATCAGAGAATCAGAGACGGTTTCCGTGCCCGGGGACCTGCAGGATGGGCTCGGGCCGTGCGGGCCTCCCCCCCCCGGTGCCCGCTTTGCTCAGGTTGCACGCGGGGCTCGCCGAGTCTGCGTGCCCACAGCTGCACCGCCCGCACTGCCGATGTTTGCTCTGCTGGCGCCGGGCAGGGCTGTGAGCCGAGGGTGGGACCCGCACCCAGTCCTCACCTCGGTGCAGCCGCAGCGGCGCAGCGTTCGGTGCCCCGCATCGCCGTTCCGCTGCTGCGGGGCTGCTCCCAGCCCGGGTGGCTCTGAGGAGCCGTCTTGAGGCCCCGCCGCTCCGCACAGCCCCCCACGGAGCCGTGGGACGCGGAGCCGTGCGACGGTCGGGTTGGAAGCGCCCTTCAGGATCACGCTGGGTTGGAAAGGAGCCCCCCGGAGCTCAGCCTCAGCCCTGCGGGGCGCTGGGTGACCCCCGCCAGCTCAGAGCCTCATCCACAGCCCCAGGCACCTCCAGGGGTGGCTCCGGGGAAGGGATTCCTCCCCCGATCTGCTCCCGTTCTCCCCTCCGTCAGTTCGAAGCCGTTCCCTCCGGTTTGCACGGCGCAGCGCTCGGCTGCCTCCTGTTGCTTTGGCAGCCCCTGCGCAGCCAGCAGCTCTCCGAACACACCTGAGGCCAGCAGTTCCCACTCCTCCACAAGGGTCTGCAGCATTCACTCGCTTCTCCATGCCTTCCTGGGGCTTTGCCCACCTCACCCCGGTGCCCTCGGGTGCAGCCCTGAGCTCCCTGCACAGCGTCACATCCTTGCGCATCCCGCACGGAGCCGGCGCTGCAGCTCAGGGAGCAGCAGAGGTGTGCCTGCAGCGGGCACAGGGGAGACACACAGCGAATCATAGCATCACAGAACGGTTGGGTTGGAAGGGACCTCAAGGATCACGAAGCTCCAACCCCCCACCAACAGCAGGGCCACCAACCTCCCCGTTTCACAGCAGCCCAGGCTGCCCAGGGCCCCATCCAACCTGAACACCTCCAGGGATGGACGGGGCATCACAGCCTCTCTGGGCAGCCTGTGGCTGCTCACCCCCACTGCCCATGAGATACATTTCTTCTTCCCCACGTGTAGCTTGCAAAGCATAGAAAGGCGGATTTCTCACTGATTTTCCCCATTCTCTCCCCTCTCAGCAGGTTGTGTGAAGGGGACGCGGCGCGAAGGGAGCAGGAGGATGGCGAGCGAGGCAGTGCTGAACGGGGCGGTGGTGAATGGGGCAGCAGTGAACGGGGCGGCGATGAACGGTCACAGTGAGCACAGGGACGAGCCGGGAGCAAAGTGCCGGGATGCTCTGCCGGGTAAGCAGAAGGCAGCAGCTGGCAGGGATGCGGCACCGATGCATCCTGTTGGTGCAGTCAGCAGGGATGCGGCAGCGATGCATCCTGGCGGATCACCCTTGGAGGCAGCTGGCAGGGATGCGGCGGCAGTGCACAGCAGCGGCAGGGCTGGCGGCATCGCCGGGGTGTACGTGGAGGCTATGAAGAAGCCGATGAGCTTTTATGATGCCACCAGAGAGCACCTGCTGAGCCTGGAGCCGGCGCTGCTTCTCCTCGAGGCGCAGGCGGCCACGGGTGGCATTGCTGATGTGGGGCAGAAGTCACACGTGGCCGTGGCAGAGGCCGTGCAGAGGGGGCTGGTGGGGCTGGAGCTGAAGGAGAGGCTGCTGGCTGCCGAGAGAGCAGCCGTTGGCTTCACGGACCCCTACACGGAGGAGCAGATCCCTCTGTTCCAGGCGCTGCAGAAGGAGCTGCTCGGGAGGGAGCAGGGCCTGCGGCTGCTGGAGGCCCAGCTGGCAACCGGGGGCCTCATCGACTTGGCCACGGGCGGGCGGCTCCGGGCAGAGGCTGCCTGCGAGAAGGGGCTCCTGGATGAGGAGACGGGGCAGCTCCTGTGTGACGGCAGCGAGGAGAGCAAAGGGTTCCTCGACCCCAACAGCATGGAGAGGGTCAGCTACGCGGAGCTCAGGGGGCGATGCGTGGTGGATCCGGCCTCGGGGCTCCTCCTGCTGCCCCTGCAGCTCACATTCGCGGGGCTGGGAGGGCGAGTGAGCGGCACGGAGCTGCGGGACGCCGGCATCATCAGCCCCGACGCGCTCAGGGCTCTGCAGGAGGGGAAGGTGTCAGCCGGGGAGGTGGCAGAGGACGACGCGGTGCAGCGGTTCCTGCGCGGCACAAGGAGCGTGGCCGGCGTGGTTCTGCCCTCCGGGGAGCGGAGGAGCCTCTACCAGGCACTGCAGGAGCACCTCCTGCTGCCCGGCGCTGCGCTGGCGCTGCTGCAGGTGCAAGCCTCCACCGGCAGCCTGATCGACCCCATCCAGAACAGGAGCTTCTCCGTGGATGAGGCCGTCAGGAGCGGCCTCGTCGGCCCCGAGCTGCATGAGAAACTGTCTTCAGCAGAGAGGTCCATCAGCGGCTACAGGGACCCCCACACCGGGGAGATGCTGTCCCTGTTCCAAGCCGTGAGCAAGGGCTTCGTCCCCAGGGACCACGGCCTCCACCTCCTGGAAGCTCAGATGGCCACCGGCGGTGTCATCGCTCCGGGCCGGCACCTCCGTGTCCCCGCCGAGACCGCGTGCCGCTGGGGGTACCTGGATGAGAGCACCCTGCAGCTCCTCGCCAATCCCACCGAGGAATCCAAAGGGTTCTTCCACCCCGGCTCCCAGGAGAAGCTGAGCTACGCAGAGCTGCTGGCGCACTGCGTCACCGACCCCAGCACCGGGCTCCTGCTGCTGCCGCTCGGTGACGGAAGCCAAGGAACGCGACTCTTCCTCGACCGCGGCGCCCAAACGGCTCTGGAGAACACAAAGGTGCCCGTCGCCGTAGGCAAGTTCAAAGGAAAGTCGGTGTCTCTCTGGAAGCTCCTTTTCTCTGACTACATCCAGAGCGAGCAAAGAGCCGCCCTCACCCGGCAGCACCTGGAGGGAGCGCTCTCCATGCGGGAGATGGCCGAGGCCGTCCGTGCCGCCGTTGAGGAAATGGCTTCTGCAGCCAACATCACCTTTGAAGGGCTGAGGGGACGCGTGACGGCCGACCAGCTCCTGAGCTCCGAGATCATCAACCGGGATCTGTTCAAGAAGCTGAAGGAGGGGGAAACGTCAGCCAAGGAAGTAGTGGGCATGGACACGGTCAGGAAGTACCTGGAAGGGACCGGGAGCATTGCTGGGCTGCTGCTTCCCGAATCCCAGGAGAAGATCAGCATCTACCAGGCCAAGAGGAAGGGGCTCCTGAGGCCAGGGACGTCGCTGATCCTCCTGGAGGCTCAGGCTGCCACCGGCTTCGTCATTGACCCGGCGGCCAACAAACGTTACTCTGTGGACGAGGCCTTAAGGGCAAACGTCATCGGCCCCGACGTCTACGACAAGCTGCTGTCAGCAGAGAAATGTGTCACCGGGTACCGAGACCCCTGCTCGGGGGACAAGATCTCGCTCTTCCAGGCCATGCAGAAGGAGCTGATCGTCAGGGAGCACGGCGTGCGCCTGCTGGAGGCCCAGATCGCCACCGGCGGCATCATCGACCCCGTGCACAGCCACCGCATCCCCGTGGAGGTGGCCTACAGGCGCGGCTACCTGGACAAGAAGATGACCGTCATCCTGTCCGACCCCAGCGACGACACCAAGGGCTTCTTCGACCCCAACACGGAGGAGAACCTCACCTACCTGCAGCTGAAGGAGAAGTGCGTGACGGAGCCGGGCAGCGGTCTCTGCCTGCTCCCCCTGAACAGCAAGAGGCGGCAGTTTGTGGATGCTGCCACGCGTGAGCTGTTCTGCAGCTCCTGGATGCCCGTCCGCTTCGGGCGTCTGCGAGGAGAGAAGGTCTCTGTGTGGGAGCTGCTGACCTCCGAGTATTTCAGCGAGGGGCGGCGCCGCGAGATCTTCAACCACTACCGGCTGAAGAAGCTCAGCCTGGAGCAGATCCGGGCCATGCTGGAGGAGGAGATGAAGAAGTGGGCCCCCATCAAGTTCCCGGCCCTGAGGGGCAGCGTCAGCGCGTACCACCTGATGGAGACGGGCATCATTGACAGGACCCTGCTGGAGGAGGTGCTGGAGGGGTCCGTCAGCCCCGAGGAAGTCCTGCGCATGGACTCGGTCAGGAAGTACCTCTACGGCTCCGGCAGCATCGGAGGCATCGTGCTCCAGCCCTCAAACCAGAGGATGAGCATCTACGAGGCCATGAAACAGAACATCGTGGTACCCGGAGTGGCCCTACCGCTCCTGGAGGCGCAGGCTGCCACGGGCTTCATCATCGACCCCGTGAACAACCAGAAGCTCCGTGTGGACGAGGCCGTCAAGGAGGGCGTCATCGGGCCGGAGGTGCACGAGAAGCTGCAGCAAGCAGAAGGGGCAGTGTCGGGCTACAAAGACCCCTTCACGGGCAGGAAGATTCCCCTCTTCCAGGCCATGAAGAAGGGTCTGATTGCGGACAAGCAGGCCATGCAGCTGATGGAGGTGCAGATGGCGACCGGAGGCATCATCGACCCCGCGTGTGGCCACCACGTCCCCATCGAGGCCGCCCAGAAGCGCGGGTGCCTGGATGAGGACACAAGCAGAGCCCTTTCCGAGCCCAGCGACAGCAACAGAGCCTTCTGCCTCCCAGACAGCAAGGAGAACGTGAGCTACGCCGAGCTCATCCAGCGTTGCCAGAAGGACGAGGAGTCTGGCTTCCACCTGCTGCCTCTGCGGCAGACGGCCGCTCCTGCCTACACGGATGAGCAAATCCAACAGCTCTTCCAGGAAACCGTGGTGAAGGAGAAAGGAGTCTCCCTGTGGGCCCTCATCCACTCCGGGTACTTCACCGAAGAGCAGCGGAGGAGCTTCGTGGAGAGGTTCCGTGCAAAGGAAACGTCGCTGCAGCAGCTGATTGCGCTGGTGCTTGGGCTGGTGGGGGAGATGGAAATGAAAGCCCGCACCCACATCGTGCTGGGGGGTCTGCAGGGCAGCGTCCCTGCCGTCCGGCTGCTGGAGGCCGGCATCCTCACGGAGAAGATGTTTGAAGAGCTGGCTCAGGGCATCCGAACTCCTGAGGAGGTGGCTGAAGTGGGCGACGTGAAGAGGTACCTGCAGGGCACGGGCAGCATCGCTGGGGTGATCCTAGAGGAATCCAAACAGAAAATGAGCTTTTACGACGCCATGAAGAATAACCTCCTCCTGCCCGGGGTTGCCCTGAAGCTGCTGGAAGCTCAGGCGGCCACCGGGTACCTCACCGACCCCGCCACCAGCCACAGGCTCAGCGTGAGGGACGCTGTGCGGGCCGGCGTCGTTGGCAAAGAGCTCACCGAGGCGCTGCTCCGTGCGGAGAGGGCGGTGGTGGGCTACACAGACCCCTACACCGGGAGCCCCATCTCCCTGTGCCAGGCGGTCCGGAAGGAGCTCGTTCCCATGGCTGATGCTCTGCCTTTGCTGGAGGCCCAGCTGGCCGCCGGAGGGGTCATCGATCCCATCCACCACCATCACCTCCCACTCCAGGCTGCGTACAGGTACGGCTTCTTCGACGAGGACTTGAACCAAAGCCTCGCGCGGCTGAACGACAGCACCCAGGTCTTCTTTGACCCGAACGCGAAGGAAAACGTGACCTACCAGCAGCTGAAGGACCGGTGCGTTTATGAGGCTGAGACGGGTCTCTGGCTCCTTCCTCTGTCCAAAAATGCAATGTTCTGCGTGGACGACCAAACCGTGGACGTGCTGAAATCCGTGACCGTCTGCGTCAACGTAGGGCGCTTCAAAGGGCAGACGGTGTCCGTCTGGGACCTCCTCAACTCTGAGTACATCACAGACGGCCAAAGGAGAGAGCTGGTGCAGAAATACAAAGACGAGAACGCCGAAGCACTGCGAGAAATCGTAACGACTGTCACCACCATTATCGCAGAGACCGAGGCACAAGGCAGGAAGTTTGCCTTCAAAGGTCTGCGGAAAAAGGTGTCCGCCGGTGATCTCTTCCGGTCCCAGCTGATAGACAAAAAAACCCTCGATGAGCTCAACCAGGGCAAGAAAACGGTCCAAGAAGTCACCAAAATGGACTCTGTCCGCATTTACCTGGAGGGCAGCAATTTCATAGCGGGGGTCCTCATCCAGCCGAGCAACGAGAAGATGAGCATCTACCAGGCCATGAGGAAGGGCATCCTGAGGCCGGGCACGGCGCTGGTGCTGCTGGAGGCGCAGGCCGCCACCGGCTTCATCATCGACCCGGAGAAAAACAAGAAATTCTCCGTGGAGGAGGCGCTGGAGGCCGGACTCGTCGGCGTGGAGGTTTATGAAAAGCTGCTCTCTGCAGAAAGAGCTGTGACGGGCTACGTTGACCCCTACACAAAAGCACCCATGTCCCTCTTCGAAGCCATGAACCAAGGGCTGATCGTGAAGAGCCACGGCGTGCGCCTGCTGGAGGCCCAGATCGCCACCGGCGGCATCATCGACCCCGTGCACAGCCACCGCATCCCCGTGGAGGTGGCCTACAGGCGCGGGTACTTCAACGAGGAGATGAACCGCGTCCTGTCCGACCCCAGCGACGACACCAAGGGCTTCTTCGACCCCAACACGCACGAGAACCTCACCTACATGCAGCTCCTGGAGAGGTGCGTTCAGGACGCAGAGACGGGGTTGTACATGCTGCAGGTTGTGCAGGAAGGGGGGAAATACTTCTACGTCGATGAGCTGACGAGACAGGTTCTGCAGTCAAAGCCTCTTCAAGTGAGAGTTGGAAGATTCAAGGGCCAAACGGTGTCCGTCTGGGACATCCTCTACTCTCACTATATCTCGGAGCAGAAAAGGAAAGAACTATTAAAGCAATACAAAGGCAAGGCTCTTACTCTGGAAGACCTTGCAGCTCTCATCCTCAAAGTAATTGAGGATACAGAGCAAAAAGGAGAAGCCCTCAAGGTTAAAGGACTGCGGGGCGAGGTGTCGGTGTCAGAGCTGTTCAACTCGGAGATAATTGACAAGGGGACTCTGGAGCAGCTGCAGGATGGGAGCCTGACGCTTGACAGCCTCACCAAGCGGGACGCAGTCAGAAGGTACCTGGATGGCACCGGGAGCATCGCCGGCGTGCTCCTGCCATCAAGGAAAGAGAGGATGAGCATCTACCAGGCAATGGAGAAGGGGCTCCTCTCCGAGCAGTGTGCGCTGGGGCTGCTGGAGGCGCAGGCTGCCACCGGCTTCATCATCGACCCAGTAAAGAACCAGAAGCTCTCCGTGGACGAGGCCGTCTCCTCCGGGCTGGTGGGCAGCGAGCTGCACGAGAAGCTGCTGTCTGCAGAGAGAGCAGTGACAGGATACACGGATCCCCAGGTAGGCGCTAAGATCTCCCTCTTCCAGGCCATGAGGAGTAAGGTAGCAGCCAAGGAGCACGGCGTGCGCCTGCTGGAGGCCCAGATGGCCACTGGTGGGATCGTCGACCCCGTGCACAGCCACCGCCTGCCTGTGGAGGTGGCCTACCGGCGCGGCCACCTGGACGGGGACACGTTCCTCCTGCTTTCTGATCCCGACCACGGCAGCAAAGGGTTTATAGACCCAAACATCCGCGGGAAAAGCAGCTACAGTCAGCTCCTGAAACGGTGCTCCAGAGACACAGACACAGGGCTGTACCTGCTGCCGCTCCTGGAGAAAGAGGAGGACTATTTCTACATCGACGAGCGTACAAAGAAAGCGCTGATGGCAACAAGGGTGGAGGTGTCTGTCGGGAAATACAAAGGCAGTGAATTGTCGCTGTGGGAACTGCTGTGCTCCGAGTACATCACAGAAGAGAAAAGAAGAGAACTCGTGAAAAAATACAAAGAGGAATCCCACCACATCGTGCAGAGAATCATCGACGTAATATTAAACATCATCAGGGAGAAAGAGCAACACAGAAGCGACGTTTGGTTCCAAGGCATCAGACAACAAATCACAGCGTCAGAGCTTCTCAGCGCACAGATAATAACAGAGGAAACCATGCGAAAACTCAAGGAAGGAAAAGAGACGGCAGAAGAAATAGCAAAGAAGGAGGATGTGAGACGATACCTCGAGGGAACGGGCTGCATCGCCGGCGTGCTGGTGCCCTCCAAGGCCGACCCCGCCAAGATGGAGAAGATGAGCATCTACCAGGCCATGTGGAAGGGCATCCTGAGGCCGGGGACAGCACTCGTGCTGCTGGAGGCGCAGGCTGCCACCGGCTTCATCGTCGACCCAGTAAAGAACCAGAAGCTCTCCGTGGACGAGGCCGTCTCCTCCGGGCTGGTGGGCAGCGAGCTGCAGAAGAAACTGGTCTGTGCCGAAAAGGCGGTCACGGGATACAGCCACCCGTGCACGGGACAGAAGATGTCCCTCTTCCAGGCCATGCAGAAGGAGCTGATCGTCAGGGAGCACGGCGTGCGCCTGCTGGAGGCCCAGATCGCCACCGGCGGCATCATCGACCCCGTGCACAGCCACCGCCTGCCCGTCCAAGCCGCCTTCCAGCGCGGCTACTTTGACCACGAGATGAGCCGCGTCCTGTCCGACCCCAGCGACGACACCAAGGGCTTCTTCGACCCCAACACGCACGAGAACCTCACCTACATGCAGCTCCTGCGCCGCTGCGTGCCCGACCCGGACACGGGGCTGCTCATGCTGCAGCTGATGGACAAGGGCTCGGCGCTCTACCAGCTGAGCGAGGACGCCCGCAGAGCCCTGCAGACCGCCCGCACCAGCGTCAGCGCGGGGCTCTTCCAGGGCCAGAGCGTCACCCTCTGGGAGCTCCTCTTCTCTCGCTACGTCCCCGACCGCCGGCGCCAGGACCTCCTGCGCGACTACAAGGCGGGCACGCTGAGCATCTCCGACATGACCGCCCTTCTCAGCGCCGCCGTCACCGGGGCCGCGGGACGGGGCCGTGCCGCCTCCGGCCAGGAGGTCCTGCCTCCAGCCCACAACGGCGATGGCAGCAGCTCCCAGCAGGACGGCGAGCGCCACAAGGACACGGACGCAGACACGGAGCTGGAGCTGGAGCTGGAGCTGGAGCTGGAGCAGGCCCTGTCGTCGCGCAGCGTCGAGGTGTCGGGCGGCGACTTCCACGGCAGGAAGGTGTCCCTGTGGGAGCTCCTCTTCTCCAAGTACGTCTCCGAGGCCAAGAGGCGCGAGCTGCTGGGGAAGGCCCGCGCCGGCAGCCTGACGCTGGAGCAGCTGGCCGGGCTGCTCGCCCTCCTGGTCCAGGAGGCGGTGGAGCGGAGCAGCACGGTGACGTTCCGCGGCCTCAGGCGGCAGGTGAGCGCCTCGGACCTGCTGGACTCGGGCATCATCGACAAGGACACGCTGGCCGACCTGGTCCAGGGCTCCAAGACGGTGGAGCAGGTGACGCAGATGGCCTCCGTCAAGCGCTACCTGGACGGCACGGGCTGCATCGCCGGCGTGCTGGTGCCCTCCAAGGCCGACCCCGCCAAGACGGACAAGATGAGCATCTACCAGGCCATGTGCAAGGGCATCCTGAGGCAGGGCACGGCCCTGGTGCTGCTGGAGGCGCAGGCTGCCACCGGCTTCCTCGTCGACCCAGTAAAGAACCAGAAGCTCTCCGTGGACGAGGCCGTCTCCTCCGGGCTGGTGGGCAGCGAGCTGCACGAGAAGCTGCTGTCGGCCGAGAGGGCCGTCACGGGCTACACCGACCCCTACAGCGGCGCCCAGATCTCCCTCTTCCAGGCCATGCAGAAGGGGCTGATCGTCAGGGAGCACGGCGTGCGCCTGCTGGAGGCCCAGATCGCCACCGGCGGCATCATCGACCCCGTGCACAGCCACCGCCTGCCCGTCCAAGCCGCCTTCCAGCGCGGCTACTTTGACCACGAGATGAGCCGCGTCCTGTCCGACCCCAGCGACGACACCAAGGGCTTCTTCGACCCCAACACGCACGAGAACCTCACCTACATGCAGCTCCTGCGCCGCTGCGTGCCCGACCCGGACACGGGGCTGTATTTCCTTAAGATTTTTGCTAAGTAATTATAATTATTGTCTTTTTTTTTCTCTGTTATTTCCTTGGTGAACAATTTTCAGTCTGTTCCGACTTGTTTTGCCTCTCGCACTTTTGCCTCCCTTTCTTTTCTCACCGACTTGCCTTGTTTTTCTTATTCTCCTTCGAGCACTTTCATTATTTCCTTCTTCGCTTTCATTTTGTCACCGTACTCACGCATGAAATATGGTTTTGAAGTGACTCAGTGATGCATTACGTTATAGCGTCTAATCCTGTTTCTTTTATTACCTTCCTGGAATTCATGAATCAGCCCAGCTTATCTCCGCTCATTTATGTGCAATATATTGTATGCTTTCTTCTTATATGGACAAAATCTCCTGCAGTATTCGCTGACGTGAGAACGGAATTTCTGTTTCCCTTCTCATGCATGTTCTTTACGCACTGAACATGTTTGCACCGATCTCCACGGCACTGACACGGTTTTAGGCTCGCACATCCAAAGCTTACATGCAGGCACAGCACCCTGCTTACACTGGCTGCTCCTGGAGGGCTTGCTGAGCTTGCTCTCACTGCCCCAGCCTGCTTCCCCAGGGGTCCCTGGGCCGCTTGCTCTCAGCCGAGTGCTGGTTGGTCTCTCACTGCTTCGTGCGCTGCAGTCACTCGGTACTTACTCTCATAGCATCCCCCTCCCCGAGGGTGCTTCCCCTCCCTCCAGTTCTCTTGTTCTATAGAGAGCCCCCATAGAGTTTTTCCATGAGATCCTCACGGGTGATGGGACACAGCAGCGGGTGCCGTGCCGGACTGCTGGCCGGGGCTGTGCTGGGAGCAGCGAGCAGCAGGGAGCTGCAGGAGGGAGCCGTGCCCCCGCTGCTTCCTTCCCCCGCTGCTTCCTTCCCTCCTTTCTCAGCTCTGCAATCCCCTGTGTTTCCCTCAGCTGTCCTCCTCCGGGTGCAGCCCATGTTTGCGCTCCCACATCGCAGACGGCCCTGGGACCGCCGTGCCGCACGGCGCTGGGCTGAATAACTGAGCTGAATAACTCCGCTCCTGCTTAATAAAAGGAAACTTACAAGCCTCAGATGCATTGCCTGTGGATGTTCGTAATTAACACGGTCTGGAAAAGCGAGTTTTCACTGCTGTCTTTAGAGCTGGCAGGAGGTGAGATGTGGAGATCAGCCACAAACCTCAGCGGAGCAGCAGGGACGTGCGGGACTCCCATCCCTGGGGGCGTCCCAGGGGTGAGCAGATGTGGCGCGCAGGAACAGCGGCGCAGTGGGGACGGCTTGGGTGGGACTTGGTGATCTTGGAGCTCTTATTCAACCTTAATGACTCTGAACACATGATCGCATGAGCGGGCATGGTGGGGACGGGCTTGGGATTGCCCTAGCTCAGGTGCAGTGCCTTGCTCTTGGCCTTGTTGAACTCCATGAGGTTGGCATGGGTGCACCTCTCGAGCCTGTCCAGGTCAGGTATAGTGGACAAAGTAATGATGGGTGCATGATTAGTGGCTGAGCTGCTGGGAATTAGCTCTGCAGAGAAGGATCTGGGTGTCCTAGTGGAGCTAGTAGTGTGCTCTTATGGCTAAGAAGGCCAATGGGACCCTGGAGTGCATTAAAAAGAGCATGGCCAGCAGGTTGAGGGAGGTGATCCTCCCCCTCTACTCTGCCCTGCTGAGGTCACATCTGGAATACTGTGTCCCCTGCAGGACCATACCCAAACACTGACTGTTTTGTTACTTTCCTCTGAAATGAGTGAAGCTTGTAAAAATGTAAGGGGAAAGAAAGCAACAGGGTGGAAATATGAATACCAAAGGATTTAGAATGGAGAACTGAAACTCATGGGTGGTTAATCGTCCTGCTCTGGGCTCTGGTCAGAGTGACTGATCAAATAGTGCATGTGAGTTTGTTTGAAATCCAGCTAGCACCTCCCCATCCCAAGTTGTCATTCCGTGCCAGACCAGCACCCATATGACCCCTGAGCATGTCTGCAAATGTGAATCTGTTGATATGACTCAACTGTGACTGACAGATCACTCTGCATTATTTTTTTTTCTTCCTAAACTCTTTGCTTTTAATTTTAAACCACTGTGCTGGTATCCTGTGGTGATACAGCCCTCTCTGTCGGCTTTATCTCTTAATTATTCAGGGATTACTGTAGAATTAAAGGTGCATTTATAAGGCTTTTAGAAGGAGCCTGCACTCTGCCTTGTCGTGAACCAATCTAGTGACATTTACTTCCTTTCTGACCAATGCAACAAGTCTCTTTTTCTCTCAGACTTCTAAACCTGTCCATAAAATAACCCCTGACCCCACTCCTCCCTCTCTGCACTCCTTCCACCCGGTTTTCTTCCTGTAATAGGTCTGAAAAGGTTGAAAGGTGCTGAACTCTTGTGCGGGGAATTCAACTTTAAAGACCCTGAACTTTTGTATTCCCTGAGGGATGCAGGGGGCAGGAGGAAGAAGGGGTGGTGATTTTGCTTTAGCACAGTGACCTAACTGATACATCTCATGTACATGTCATGTTAAATGTCATCTCTAGGGCTGGGACGACTCCGGATAACCTGTCTGGTCAGTAGAGGTGACGGAAAATACTTAGCTGCAGGCCATTGCTTTGAGAAAGCTTTGTCTTTTATACTTCCTTCACTATTTATTTATGGGTTGGAGACTTTTTATTCCCTCTCCTTGCAAAAGATCCATCACCTTTCTTTCACTCTGGCAGACCGCAAAACTTTGATGAGCAGCGACAGCAGCTGCAAAATAGGAAAGAAATGATGAACTTCATGACCAGCCATTCTTTAGGAGGGAGCAGAAATGAGAAACAGTGCCTGAGAATGACAGCTGAGAGCAGCTCAGTTGGTTTTGTTTGGCTCATCAAGGAGAAAGGTGCTTGGATGGGACCTTGCACCAGAGCCTCAACCCTGTTTCATGCAAAGCCATGCAGTGGTACCATCACTGCGGCCATCTGCACTTCTCACCCCTCCCCTTGTCCCCCTTCCCTCCATCATTGAGCCTCTCAGTCTCTCACTACAGATGATTTAGTGAGGCCCAGGGACATATCTGGCCCAGGAACACCCATGGTTGCTTTCTGGACTCTGTGCTCACTACTGGAAAATAAATGAGTGCAAAGCAGAATTATTTACTGAGAACCTTCCTACTGCAGGGACACTTGAATGCCCCGTACACTGCATGATGTTTGGATGTGGAATGCTGGAACCATAAAAACATGGAACCGTGACATCGCACCCCTTATTCTACATCGTTACGTCACGCTTAAAATAGAGATACGTATATACAAACAAACAAAAAATGATCAAAATGCATCACACGCACATGGCTGTATACATAGACATAGAATTACTGACTGCACTCTGATGCCCTCGAGTCACCAAGGGACAGAATCAATCCATATTTCTGGAGTGACCGGGAGCTCTCAAGAACTGACTGTGTTGGAGGCTGAGACAAGCCTCACTGGTAAGAATCATAGAATCATAGAATCACCAAGGTTGGAAAAGACCTAAAAGATCACCCAGTCCAACCGCTCACCTATTCCCAACAGCTCCCACTGAACCACGTCCCTCAGCACAGCACCCAGCCTTGCCTTCAACACCCCCAGGCTCGGCACCTCCCCCACCTCCCTGGGCATCCATTGCAGTGCTGCCCACCTTTCTGACACCTCATTCTTCCTCATGTCCAGCCTGAATCTCCCCTGCCGCAGCTTGAAGCCGTTCCCTCTGCTCCCATCACTGATGGCACGAGAGCAGAGGCCGCCCCCCAGCTCCCTGCAGCCTCCCTTCAGCAGCCATAGAGAGCAGTGAGCTCTGCCCTCAGCTCCTCTTCTCACCCTGAACATTCCCAGCTCCTTCAGCCTCTCCTCAACAGCCCTGTGCTCCAGACCCCTCACCATTTCATTGCCCTCCTTTCAACACGTTCCAGGCCCTCCATGTCTTTCTTGCAGTGAGGGGCCCAAAACTGGACACAGCCCTCGAGGTGCGGCCTCACAGAGCTGAGCACAGGGGATGGATGCTCCCCTCCCTGCTCCTGCTGGCCATTTCTGATGCAGGCCAGGCTGCCCTTGCCCTTCCTGGCCACCTGGGCACACTGCTGGCTCCTGTTCAGCCCAGCATCCATCAATACCCCCAGCTCCATTTCCTCTACGCCGTCCTCCAGCCACACCGCCCCAAGCCTGCAGCGTCGCCTGGGGTTGTTGCAGCCCAAGTGCAGGACCCGGCATTTGGCCTTGTTGAAACTCATCCTATTGGCTTCAGCCCAGCTCTCCAGCCCGTCCAGATCCCTCTGTAGGGCCTCGCTACCCCCAGGCAGATCCACACTTCCAGCCCATTTGGTGCCATCTGCGAATTTACTGAGGCTGCACTCGATGCCCTCATCGAGGTCATCAATAGAGATATTGCAGAGCACAGGCCCAGCACCGACCCCTGGGGAACACCGCTCACAACCGGTCGCCAGCTGGATTTGACTCCATTCACCACCACTCTCTGTGCCCGGCCCTCCATGCAGCTCCTCACCCAGCACACAGTGCAGCCATCCAAGCTGCCGGCTTCTGCAGGAGATGCTGTGGGAGGCAGCGCCAAAGGCTGTGCTGGAGTCCAGGCAGAACATCCACAGCCTTTCCCTCATCCACCAGATGGGTCATAGAAGGAGATCAGGTTGGTCAAGCAGGACCTGCCCTTCACGAACCCATGCAGGACTGGCAGAAACACCCTATTGTGACGGGCCCAGGGGCTCCATGTGTTCTAGGTATTGATTATCTCAGAAGGGGGCATTTCAAGGATCCCAAGGGGTATCGATGGGCCTTTGGAATAGCTGCTGTGGGCACAGACGACATTGAGCAGCTGTCTGTTGTTCCTGGCCTGTCAGAAGATCCATCTGTTGTGAGGCACTTTAACTCTTTAATGCCCTGTACACTACGTGATGCTTCGATGTGATTCTGTGATGTGGGTCTGGCCTCTTCTCCCAGGCAAACAGCAGGAGCCGAGGAAACGGCCAGAAGTTGTAGCAGAGGAGGTTTAGGATGGACATGAGGAGAAACTTCTCTCAGTGCTCAGGTGCTGCAATGGCTGCCCAGGGAGGTGGGGGAGGCGCCGTCCCTGGAGGCACCTGGATGAGGAGCTGTGAGATGTGGTTTAGTGCTGCTGGTACTGATAGCAATGGGAGGGGGGTTGGACTGGAGGAGCTTGCAGCTCGTTTCCAACCTTGTGATGCTGTGATTGTGTGATGTGCAATACTGAAACCCAAAATTAAACAAACAAACCAAAAAACCCCATAGAACCGTGATAGGTGTGCACTGAAGGACGTGGTTCAGCAGGAAATGTTGGGGATACAGTTGGACTGGATGATCTTGGAGGTCTTTTCCAACGTCAGCCATTTTACGAGCGCGTGATCCCACGATTCTGGGGCTGCTGTATCACGAGCACGGAGCAAAGCCAACTGAGCGCCCAGCAGGCGCGGAGCTGCGGGTGTCTGCGCCTTCACAACACCCAGCCCAACCCACGGCCCTTCAGCACATTTGAGGACCGCAGAACCACAGAATGGTTTGGGTTGGAAGAGGGACCTTCAAGATGTTCTGTTTCGAATCCCCTGCTGTGGGCAGGGACGCCTCCCTCTCGCCCAGGCTGCTCACAGCCCCACGCAGCCTGCTCTCGAGCGCTTCCAGGGCAGGGGGCATCCACAACCTCGCTGGGCAACCTGCTCCAGTACTTCACCACCCTCACAGTAAAGAATTTCTTCCTGAGATCTAGTATAAAACTCCTCCTCTCTTCCAGTTTAAAGCCATTTCTCCTTGTCTGGAGCACAAGTCTTACGAGGAGCAGCTGAGGGAGCTGGGATTGTTCAGCCTGGAGAAGAGGAGCTGAGGGCAGAG